TTTTATAAAAGCTTTTAGTAATATATTATCTTTAAGTTAATATTTACTTAGTGTTCTTTTATCTAAGAGTTCTATATATACTAGTATAAGTAGTAATAAATTAACTATTTCTTAGACCTAGGCTTTAATTACTTTATATATATATTTTTTCTTTATATAGCTACTAAGTTCCTTTTTTATATTAAAAGTATAAAGCGTTATTATATTTATAGTTACTAAAGTTACTTTTTAATTATTTAGCTTCTCTTTATTATACTCTTAAAGCTAGTTATTAAAGGATTAGAAGTCTAGTTAGTTAGTAATATTTACTTTAAAATTACTATCTAGATTAATATACTTTTATACCTTTTTACTTTTAGTATAGTATTTAAAAATAATAAACTATTTAGGCTAATTTTACTTTATAATAAGCTTAATAGACTTATTATAGTTAGTTATCTTATTAATTTTAAAGAATATTATTTTTTAAAGTAGTTAAACTACTTAATAATAGATTAAGAGAGAGAGTTTTAGAACACTAAGTAATTATAATATTTAGGGGTTTTTTATATAGGAGCTAGGCTTATAACTATAATAAACTACAGTGTTTTGACATTTAGAAAGAGAAGTAGTTAATTTTCCTAAGTCTAAGTACAAGAGAAAACTTACCTAGAAATACTCTTCCTAATGTAGGTCTTATCAGTTGAAGGCGCTACTCTGTGGCGTCTCTGACTAGAACTAGCCACACAAAGCTGTCCCAGCTTCACGACACTGTCTTACTTAATTCTCGGGGCTCTAGCTATGGCGGGCGCGACCTCAGCTGGTTGAATTTCTGTGACCAACCTTGGGTTCCTTAATAAGGCAACTGTTGGTATCACAGGTGGATATCCTTTTAGATAGGCGATTAATCATTATATGTTAGATAAAGCAGTGACAGTAATAAGAGGTGAAAAGAAGGGAGCAACTATTGCTATTGCTAGCGCTGTAGGTATATAGGTTTACGGCTTGAGGAAGGTCACGTAGTGACCTTTGGGTCGGCCCATTTCTCCTGTGGATGACTGGCATCCTGACAGCAACGCTTATCCAAAACACACCGCCTACAAAAGATTGTTGGCTCAAGTTTCAAAGTATAGAATGAAGTGAGCCTTAGTTGAGTCTAAACCATTGTGTACCTTTTTGAACAGTTTCATTTAATCAAAGTAACATAAACGACATAGCTAGCAACGCCATGAGAGCTCCACTGAGGTGTAAGTGCTTCAAGACAATATTCGTCCTCGAAAGGAGTGATGTTTGGTAATGTTTTGTTCCATGACATCAAACCTAGTTTTCAAGGAATATGAGCGCATGAGCAGTTTGCCTTGCCTCGAAAGAACCCTGGAAAGTTTTGTGGGGAGAATTTATTGAGCTGGAGAGTCTAATTTGGTTACCTGCTAAGGATGCTGGTCTCCGAATTCAGACGGAGTTACGATCCTTCATTATGCAGTTGTTGTAACTTACAGACTGAGTACAACTTGAGGCACGTGGGCCATAATGAAAACATAAAAGTGCTCGCAACTCCAGGCTTGGTAATTTCACATTACACTCAAAGGGTCAATACGAATCGAAAGTATAGGTTCATACTTCGCTTGTATTTCGTAGGTTTCGAGAATATTGCATGGCTTTCTATATGACTTTATATCTGTACTCTGACTACTAGTCATTTAGTTATCATTTATCTGTCTGTTGGCTTCAGCTCCTGCTTCAGCCTGTGTTCACTGCTATCATTCAATTGCCTTATGATGTATGTAACGAAATTAGACGTGATAGTTCAAAACATCTCCGGTTTGTCATAGATTACGGTTCCATATTTTGTCTGGAGGTTCTTCCTTCCCTTTAGTCTATGTTGTTATTCTCTACGTTTTTCCTTGCTAACTATTAGCGAATCATTCGGCTTCTTTAATCAGTTCAATATGAAAGGCATGGGCAGATATTACTTCCATTAATTGCGATTAGTACTTAAAGATGAAAAGAACTCCCTATGGAAGCACTCGATCCATTATCAGCAAATCACCCAGACTCACCTTCGGGGTTGAACCACGTGACACTGTGGGTATACAACGGCTATACTAGACTATTTGTTCAATTCATAGACATATGATCGCATATCGTAATGAGCCGATTTGTTTTGCCATAATCCATGACCTATTGGGTGCCGCGGCGGTATCTCGTCATGTTTAGAACAGTTCGTCCCAATTCTTGTCATGTATCGTCCTGGTCGCATATCTGGATCTTCCTCTTCGACCCATGGGTTGATAATAACGTCACCTGCAGAAGAATATGCAGGCTCTGTTCAACGTCGTGCGAAACCCCTCTTTCCAGCTTTGGTCCAACCAATAGCGAAACTTCTTACGATATCCGGAGTTCCGCCTTGATGAGCTCGGGGGCCTTGCGAAGATTGCGTGTGGCAGGATACAGGTGTAAAGCGGGTTTGAATGTAAGGATACGTCAACCAGCCTGACCAGATGATTCTATCTATTCTAATGATAAGCTCTTATGTGCGCTACATGTCCTATCAAACCCCATTCCTTTACATCAAGATTCCCAAGTTAACCCAGTTCTCGGATAAAAGGGAGATTGAGCACGCCTTCCACATTTCTGCAATAAATTTACATGTCATTCCATATGTGGTATACTCGTAGAAACAAGGCTGTTGACTTGCATTACCTGGAGGGGAAGCCTTGAAAACGTGGCCACGCTACTAGGCACACTGGTGCCTAGAGCTACATGCATGCCTACCACCTGCGCTGCAGCACACCACTGAAAGTGGCATCATTCGGTTTGTATTCTTACCGCACAGCTGCCTCCGCGTCCTTTTTTGACTGCTCTGCATTTGCTGGTGTACTTGACATATCATTTGGGGTCTCTTCGAGAGCCAGGTGCGTCTTTCTGTAAGAAGCCTGCCGTGCTGACGGCTAGGATATGCTATCAGGGTGTGACAGCTTTCTCAGGGTGTGGTTTTTTCACAAGGGATCCCGCTGCTTCCAGTCTTGTTGGTGTTGTAGGAGGTGGCTTCTGCACCCCGTATTCGCATAGTTGTTGACATCTGACAATGGAGTAAGATAGTCGGAGTCATTGGTGAAACCCGTATGGTTGGAAGCATGTGTAAGAGGAAAACTTGATTTCCAGGTACCCACACACTCACTTGACTGTAAGTAGCGACATGGCACCTCAGTACATGTATTCTCTATGGGCCCAATGCGAAGACCTCTGGAGGCGCTACAGTTGCCGTGACCCTGTCTACGATAACAGATATCTGAGTGGCTCTGGTTTGAAAAGCTCAAAACCCGTTGGTAGCTTTGTTCAGAGCAGTGCGTGTGGCAGCGTACCATTTGAACGAGCATGGGTCACACGTGAAGCCTTTCGGTGAGAAATCTGCACGTCTCATTGGTGATTGAGGCAGAATGGTAAGGCCAGGCCAAAAAGTGTGACAAGGTAATTACACCCCCTTCTTGAAACCGGTGCTTGTGATCGGAGTACGGAATGTTCGCCGAAGATTAACGTTCTTTCGGGTGCGTTGCATCTTCCTTGAATAAGTAGGTGTCAGCATCCTTGTGATAGTGGGGTACATTTGCACACATGTGGGTCATAGTAGACACTTGTTTGTTACCACGCGTCAGTCGCCTTGAACGACGCCGTCAAAACTATGGCTCGTGAACAGGCAGTAATCAATATTGTGACAGCTAAGTGGAGGCCGTTCCTCAGGAGGAGCTTTGGACAAGGCGTCCAAGCTAATGAAGTGAATGGCGAGGGGACGACGCTTAAATGCCTCAAGTTGCCTGGTAAACTAGATTCTATTACCCCGCCATTTAGCTAATCCTAGTTTTTGGCTTCATTGGCGTCCTTATCAGCCGGAGACGTTGGATCACATATTTCATCCAATGTGATTCGTGCGTGAAATACGACGGAAAGTCGAGACACAGCCACCGTATTGCCAAGTAACTGTAGATCCTCATAACTAAAATGTCAAAGAAAACCCTAACGGGTCGTGGATATCCCCGCCTATGAAAATGGACAAGAGACCGGGCGCATCTTGAACCAACAGGCCCGAGTGTAAAAGGATTGATGGACCCCGGGTGCCGGGATTCGTGGTCTAGTCAACGAAGGCATCCGGAGGAGATTTTGTCGTGTTTATCGTCCATGTCAAAGTACCGGGACCACTGCCATGTCAACAACACGGTGCTCCGGGTTCCGTCCTTCCAGGCTATCGGTTTATCTTTTGATCGGATATCCAGCATTGATTCTATGTTATTTGATACATTGAGCGTTTAACACTTCATACACTTTACGTTAAACTGCTTCTGGAGTGCCTTTGCCGCGGCGGATATCATCAGTGATCAACGTCGAGTTGATACAAGGCGATCTACCAGTTCACGACCCGAGAAGAATGCAAAATTTAGGTCCGCAATGTATGTGCATGAGCCTCTTGGCCGGTATAACCGCAAGGATGTTAGAATTCCCAGCCTATCTTTCTGCATTCTCAAGGTCCCTGGAGTCATGTTAGGTTGTCAGGTGCAGGCCACGTTGCCATTCTATTATACTAATTCTAACTTGGCCCACATGGATTTCCCTTCTTATTTCGGTCGGTTTGTCTAGTTTTTCTTGCTTCAACTGGCGACTCCCTTTCCGGCTTACGGCAAAGCTTGATGACGACGATAAGTACTTTGAGGTGGCGTCGATGGCCGAGAAGCGTCAGAAGATGTTCCTTTGGCTTGTTTGCCGTCTCGCGTTATTAGGCAACTGGCTGATATGTAGTATGTAACCCGATGAGACAATTTGGCATGTTTCCACAATATGGTTTAGAAAATTGGTATTAGCGATAAGTCCGAGGCACAGTCGGCAGTCGCAGACAGGCAACGAGTTCTGATGATACGAAAACTTTACAGCAGAGTCTCTTCTTCACAGACAAAGCTGGGCCTAGTCAAATTTGCAGCCATCTTTGAATCATGTGATTTGCTGTAACGCCTGTGCCAGTGTAAGCCGTACTACTCCAGGACCTCAGAAGGCCCGATTAACTTACCGAACATGGTGCCAATCACAAATGCAATGCTGTATCTTGCTAGTGTTGAACGCCACTGTAGGGCCTTTTCAATCCGACCGTTGGGTGCCAAGAGTACTTCCTGGCTTTGATTATGTTCCGGATCAACTGATGAGCTGGAATCCGGAGCATTTGGTCTCGCTTGACTCATCTGGTCTTCCAGCATCTCAAGGATAAGCTCGTCCAAGCCGTCAACAAAGAAGCAGAATCCGAGTTTATTGTCGGTCTTGCAGCTTCCAACGACGTAATCGAAGGCTTTATGAACGTCTCTGTCGGAAACGCAGATCTTTTTTCCAACTTGCCAAGGCGTTTCCCGGGCTTTCGCCCAAAGGGTTGGCAGAGCTGAGCGCGTCAAGTCAGGGCAGGACTCCAAGATATCGTGAAGCAATGTACGATACATGCCCGGCAGGGACTTCTGGTGACTGGTCCCGATATTGGAAAAGAAATGCTTCGCGAATACAAGCTTACGATTGCCTTTTATCGGTTAGCAATGTGATCAAAATGCGCTAATATGATACCCAGGGTTAGGGGTCGGAATATCTACTCACGGGATTTCGCCCATGCTTTTAGCAAAGATTGCACATGCTCGTGGGAGCACATTAGCTTCATCAAGGTTGACTTTCCTGCACCAAGCTTGCCGGAAAAGTGGAAAACCCCTTCCCCCGAGAAGAGCCATTCCAAAAATAGTCTTCGGGCGGAGTGCCTCGCCCTGAAGTCGTTGCTCACGTCTGTTTCACCGACAGGTTTGTGGCGTAGTGACTCCAGCAGTATACCATGATGTTTTTTCCAGTCTCCAAACTCTGCCAAGATGTCGTCTTCATTGGCAATCAACTCGTCACCATCGAGCTCAAGCGAAGGATCTGAGTTTTGGTGAGAAAACTGAGTGTGAAAAGCCATTGCCTGAAAGTGGCCGGAGTCCGGGCGAAATACTTTCGCCGGCTTGGTATTTTCCTCTGTTTCAGACACCAGCCATTCGAAGGTTCGAAGGTTCGTGAATGGGCTTCACATATCGTATCATGCCGCTCGGTCAATATTTTCGTGCCGTGGGACTTGATACCATTGAGTTTACGCTCTTGGGCTACAGCATCAACCATGTCTTCCGGGATGCGGTACAGTTGTTGCATTTGACCTCCGGCAACATCGTCGAAACCGGCCGTATCGATGACATTGCGGAGCTGGGTGACTGAGTTTCGAATCTCCTCAAGCCGACGAGCATTGTTCTCGGATATTTTCAGTATATTTTGAAGTCTTGTTCTGTTCTCCTGACTGCTTGGAACTCAGTGGTTGCCGATCATGTACGGCGCAGCCTGAGGGACATCTCACCTTGAAAGATGGTTGAGCTGTATTCCTAACTGGCTACGGCAAGAACCCAGCCTTGCCTCGAGGCTCTTCTTTTCCTCGTCGTATTTCAGGTTCTTGATCACAGACCATATGGCCTGTCTCTTTTCGAGTAACTCCGAGAGATCGCCAGCCACGTCCCTGCACTTGGCAGCCAGTTCGGCCAGGCCCAAGTCAGCGCCGGTCAGATTGGTCTGGCCCGGCGCCAGCAGCTTCACTGTGAACGTCTGCATCTGACGAGCGACGCTGTCGAGAGTGTCGTTATCCTGCAGAGCCCCTGCATCCTGGACCCTCTTCGCCCCACGAATCACTGTGGTGCCGAAATCTATAAAGGATATCACGTTGGATGCCAAACTGATGGCTGTGATTGGATCCATCTCGTCGGCAGGCAAAGACGCAGCTAATACAGAATCGACTACGAGGATCGGGGGAAATAGGAGAGAGGTCACACACACTCACGTTGTTAGTATTTAGCGAAGTAGACTGGACCCCTCCTTAGAACGGCCCCTGATCGGTCGTGCCAAGTCAGAAATATTATGCAATATGCACGTTGGCTAAGGCGGTTAAGCAAGCTGCTGCAGCCCGCTTCACTACATCTAATTCTACGATAAATGGACCCTCACGGGTTGTTGGCTACTCCCAGTGCTACTCTTGCTGCATCCGCATGCATTATCGCGAAGAAACATGAGTGGCCAGCCTTCTGCCACTAATCTTCCCCTCATCATATGTTGGGACTTATCAGTGCGGCAGAAACCGAAAACACATGGTTGCCTCACGGATCAACGGTTCCTCGACTCTCTATTTGATCCAGTAGAACAGGCTTCCTCGTCCGATCTCCCGACCAAACCTTCATACAGTAGCAATATTAGTTCGTTGCAAGCCGTCAACTCCAGGCAACTCCAGGCGGCATCCACAACTCTCAACCCCACTCGTACGCCCGCTCGCTTGCTCGCCCCTGCTTTTTTTTTTTTCCTTTTCTTTTTTTCTTCTTTTTTTCCCTTCAGAAATTGTTTCGGTAGATCACGAAGTGCAACAACGAGGGAGTTAATTGCAGCTGATATACCGTTCCGTCCTCATGACCATCTTTGTCTCAACAGAAATCTGTCTAGCTGGTCAAGACCTTTCAATTTACCGCAGCAGCGACAAGATGATGCTCAACAACTGTCATGGTGCGGGACGATAGGTCTGTGGCAGAGAAGTCGCTCACCGAAACTCATGCATGGCGTTAAGGTGCAATAATGCGTGTGTATTACCGATGGCCGCATCATGGGGACGTGGGCGACATATCATTGCAGTTTCGGGCACAGCAAGCTCCTCTCGGAGGCACTCTGCCGCCGAGTTCCGATTGGCACATGGATACCTATAGCATATGCCTCTCGATGCAGCCTGATTGGAAAGCTCAGAATGAAAAGTAAGGGAGGGGGAAATGTTGCAATTGCCGAGGGGGGGGATTTCTTTTCTTTTTTTCTTTCTTTTCGACGTTGTTCCGCTTCCCCCCAAAACCACTTGTGGGTTAGGAAAGGGAGGTCAGGAGACACAGCGTCCACGAGGGCAACACATGGAATGCTCCAGGAGTTAGTATAAATGCATGTCGATGAGACATTGCTACGAAAGGGATACACGGCATCTGAGGGGGAGGCTGCACCATCGTCGCCTGACACAGCTATGCTGAAAACAGACAGAAGGCAACCGATAGCCTAATAATAAACGTTATCTGATCTCTGATCACATCAGCGAAGAACTCTGGCCAGTAAGAGGACGCCCCATCAATGTGGGTGTGAGCTGGGAGGAGCAGCAGCAGGTCATCTCGCGAAAAGCATGCAACCCTTGGAAACTGTCGCCTTGCGCTACAAGCCAGGAGGGTCCCCCCAAAGGTCCCTTCCGCCTCGCCCTAGAATTCTTCCAGGGCGATTCGCCCGACATCTTGCCAACCCTGGGTTCGGGATCTATGATCATGTCCGCTTCCACGCAGGATGAACCAGGCTCCAGGCTGCCAGTCGCGAGAGCAAGCTCCCCCCCTTCAACTACCTCGGCCGTCATCCTCCTTCCTGGCCCGATGGTCCCGTGGTATAGCGACCTCAGACTTGACCGCTGAGCCATTGACGCTACAAATACCGCCTCAGCCACTCAATTCCTTTGGTCGAAGGCTTTTGCGTGTCCGACAGCTTCTCTTTCCTTCCCACGGAAGAGCTGGGCCATCCAGTCGTCCTTTCGGAGTCCGATGAAGGATTGGCCACGGTCCCCTTCCAACTGAGGCGAGGCAACCAGGCACGGAACCAGGCGAGGAGGCAGCAGCGCCTCTGAGCGCGACGCTGGGCCTGTTTCGGCTTTTTGCGGAGAAGAAGAAAAGACAAGGCTACGGCTCTCCTTCTTTTCCGAACCCCTGAGCGCCCCCCTAGTGACTTGGCCTGATGTCATCTGCAAATCTTCGCGGGGGGGAGGGGGGTTTCGAGGCTTCCGAGCTACCCGGGTAGAGACTACGCGGACCTATGGCCTCCGTATAATATCAGGGGGACACCGGATCTGTAAACCCGGCCCCCCACCCTTTTCCCCCGAGAAACAGAACCCCGGATCCGGGTTGCAAGCAGCCTGGGGAATTTGCACAATGACTCTGTACGATTGGTTTTTTTATTCTTCTTCGGTGACCGGTTAAAGTGGTTCAGGGATGCCCATTCGTCATCACGGCCGTCCTGGTCATGGCGTGCTGCGGCTTTCGGGGGAGCGGGCGGTTATGGCTCTCTGTGATGACAAAAGCGGATCCGTAATTGCCACTGCGCAATTACGGCTTATATCACGACACTCTCGGAAGGGTGTGCATATGCATAGGTAGGTGTGCGTATGCCCCCAGCGTTTCTGCCTTTTGCCTTTTCACTGCGCCCGCAAAGAATGACGACGATATTTTTTCCTCGGCCGAACCGCACTACCCAAAAACGTCAGTACTTCGGGTCGCCTTGTTTCGCTGGGGAGGATGGGAAAGGAAGTGATTACGCTGGATTCTTGATTATTGAACTTTCTTTGGACAAGGCAGCTGTTTGCATTCGTAAGTTCGGGTGGCTGGGATATCCACACAGGGGGGGAAAGGCATATGGAGCTTCGCCCGATCAGCAAGTCGCAGTGGCTGGCCCACCACCTGACGACATTTGTGCGGGTGAGTTGATTGGTTACCATGATGCATGTGTATATCTATTCTTCGGAACAATATTACCAATACCGTCGAGGATTTCCTACATCACGTCAGACCGTTCTCTGCTCCCTCAGGTTTCGCAAAGGGGCGGGGGAGGCATCGAGAAGGCATTTCAAGTCGGAACCTTGGTCAACCGAAAGAGATGCTCACCTTTCCATATGTTCTGCCTGTTGTCGGCGCCTCCTACCCGGCCCGGTCGGTGCAGAACGGTGGTGCCGATCGAAAAAATCGCCAAACGTACCCGGAAAGAAGCCGGCATCTGCCGGCTGCAAGGCCGATCACCCCGGGCCGGGCCGGACCGGACTACGTCCCGGCCTGACAACGGGGACCACGAGGGACTGGAAGCGCTTTTGGGCTGCGCGTGCGTAACATCAGTGAGGTCGACTGTTCAAGGAATGCGTGGTCTACGACCAACGGTACATGGAGAAATGCATCCCAAAATATAATAGATGATCCTTCGTGGCTTGAGTCCCACCTTTGTCACGATAGCTTCATACATAACCGGCACTTGGTATCAGCTCTGTCATGTGCTTCATTACATCTCTCATTCATCACTCACATTACATGTAATGAATATAGGAGCATTCTTGTCATATCTTCCCTTTTCTATAACATGCATCTATTGGGTATGTGAAGGTTGGTTGTACTCTGTGTAACGCTGATCTTAGAGACAAACTATTGCACAGCTGGCGTAGAGCCAAACGTGACTCTATTGGTTAATATAGTCGCTCTAAACCCCCATAAGCGGTCTAGTTCAACCGGTACATATGTAGTGTTACGATACGTAGAAAAGCCCGGTATGCAGCACCTCTAGGCTCTGACAAATGAATCTTTATTTGGTTCGGTAATATTGCTACGTAGTGCAGTCATCAAGACTTCTGCTAGATGCTGAGAGCAATCTACTACAATTGAAAGACAGTCCTGCTTGAGCCTCAACAATAGAGACCACCGCAAACGCCCCGGCCATGCACTCGTTTTCCGTGCCCTCACAGTAACGCCCACCCCATGCGCAGCCCTCGACACCTGTTTATACACCAAAAACCCAGAACGCCACGTAAAACACAAAGACAGCTCGCCAATCCATAACCGTCAGGGACCTCCATCCGGGACATCTGGGATGACTACGTCACCGTCGTTGCCCGCCTGCAGATCCACCTGCGGCTTCGCATCGGACTTGCCGATGACGGGTATTTCGAAATCGTATTGTGGCGGCACGCCAAATTGTCTTGTCGACTTATCGTATGTCAGCCAGTTGCCCGATGACGCGATGCGGCAACCGAGCCAAAGGCACCTCTCCTGACGATCCTCTGTCATCGACGCCACCTCAAAGTACTTCTCGTCGTCGTCAAGTTTTGAAGTGAACCAGTCGTCGGGGTAGTACTTATCGACCCAAAGCAGCCCGCGTTGCGCAAAGTCCTCGGGCAGAGGTCTAGGCGTCTCGTCGTTGGACCGGGGGAACTCCTCAGATTCAATCCTGTCCACCGACGCACACTCTTTCAAGAGCGAGTTCAGCATCAGCGAGATGAGCTTCCACGGCATCTTTGACTCAATGTAACCCATTGCTGTTCCAAAATGTGACATGTGGTAGAGGAACGAAAGAGTGACGTGAAGGTAGGGGTTAACGTTTGGGTCCGCAAAGCGTTGAAAGACCACATTGTGGGTGCGGACCGCAAAGTCGAGGGCATCAAGGAACTTGGCCGTTACCGAGGTCTCAGGGTCTTCCATCTGGACGTCAGCATCATCTGTGCGGCTCGTCTTGATAGCCATCATGATGGGGTTCGACTCGCTGCCGTATTCGAGAATGGCGCATCCTAGAGCAACAGCAATAAAGTATCCACAGTCCATCCATCCCTTTGTATTCCGTGCAATGTGTCCGTCGAGACTACCAATGAACTCTTTTACAGAGGGAGCAAACAGCTCGCTGCTCTTACCAGAGAACAGAATCCCGTGAGCGCGGATGAAGGCAGCATCAATCTCCTGCAATCGCGTGGGCGTGCCGTTCAGGTGCGGGTCAAAGAGGGTCATGATACTTTCCCGAGCACTGAGAAAGGGGATGGGAACGCAGAGACTCTTCGCATAGTAGAACAGCTGCTGCAGAGCGTTGGGGCGCGCCAGGATAGCGAGGTGGTGGTACAGTCGTCCTGTCGTTGGGGCCTTATCGCTTGCCTTTGAGTACCAATGACGAGAGACAGAGGTCCACACCTCGCGGTCCTTGATGTTATCGTCTTCGATAGCCATTCTAGGCCTGTTAGCAAGAAGCTAGGAGGGGACTCTGAGCCATACGAAGGATGCAATATCTCACCGGTAGCGTCCCAGGTCGCCGAGGCACTCGATCCAGGTATCCTCAAATGTCGGCACCGTCTCATATAACAACGCCATCATAGAATATGCGAGGTAGATAAATGTCAACATATGCTCCAGCGATGCTGGGAGACGGTGGCGTAATAGCTCGAGGAAGGAGTGGATTCCGTGCCTCCACATGCGCGCCGGCATAGCGTATTTGCTTGCTAACCGGCGTAAAGCCGGGCTAGCAGAAGGATGCTGCGATGCCAAGAAAAAATCATGGTGTTCATGTAACAAAGTGCGATGCAGAGCAATCAGCGCCTGCCACTGCTCGTTGTTTAGTATTGGGCTTGTATCCTTACTCGACGACTGAGCGTTGTCAACCTCGATGCATTTGCTCTCTACCATAACAAGCCCAGCGTATATACCCTTCACTTCGGCCACAAGCTGTTCTTGGCTAATAGGACGAGTCTCAGGCTGTTTAATCATAAGCTCTGTATTGTCTTCCACGGAAGAGTGGTCAAAAGTACGACTTGGCGTGGTTGGCTCGCGGTCTCTGGGCCGTCCCATGTCAGCCTTGCGAGGCTGAGAAGTGCCTTCGTCAGGGGTCCATAATTTTCCTGGCTTGGTGCTGGGCCCTCTCTGAAAATCGCTATCATTGACTACCGACGTATGTTGGCGGGCGCGAGAACGCTTTTGTGTACTTGATCTGTGTTCGCTATCCTTTCTTTTGTTCTTTTCGGAGGCAGCGGAAGGACTATCGGCGCGGGCCGTGTCTGGCGCATTGCGCAAAGTACGGGGAGTTGCGTCGGCATTATTTGCATGGTTTGGTTCGTCGGCCGTGGGTGGTGGTGATTGTAGTTGTGGTGGTGGGGTTGGCTGAGGCTTGCCTCCTTGACGATCTTTTATTCTAAGGCAGTAGAGGTTAGCTACTAGAAGGCCAAGCGATTGTAGCGATTGGTGCAATGGCCTACTGCAAAAATGTTTGTGTTATCAAATCGTTGCCAGCCTCGTCGGTCGTATTATGGCCGAGGTCTTGGAAATGCCCGGAGACGGCATCTAGTGTGGAAGCTGAGGGGAAAACGTGTCCGCAGTCGGGAATAGGACATGTTCTTTTTCTCCTAGCAATTGCTCGCTGACGATCCGTGATGCGGTCGGTCAAGGGAATGACCTCTGACGGTTTTGTACACATAATTCAATAAATGTAGTGACTGGCAGTCGGTACTGACGTGTAGAGCTTGTAGAGAGAAGGGGGAAAAACTATAGAAGTCGGCCGATTCCCCTCTGCTTTAAGGTAGCTAGATTGACACAAGTCTGCCGAGTTGGCGATTGATCCAAAATGGTAGGCGTGGTTCGCCTGGAAGATGCGTGCCTAGAGGTACCTCAGGTACGTACCTTCAAGGTACGTATCTTTGGTTGCCTCGCCTGCGGCGCAGAGCCGCAGGCGAACCATGCGAACTCTTTTTCCCAAAAGCTTTCAGGGACAGCGTCGCTCCCCCTCAAGCTTTGCACCTCAAGGAAATCTCATACCCTGCTCCCTCATCCTCGAACTCCCAACTCTAAACAAAAAAAACAAAGCCTCGTTTGGCAGCAATGCGGTCCTGAGCCCAGGTCGACATGACGATTCTTTCGGTTCCATTCAAGTTTCTTTCTTGGGCGGAGAAAGGGGCCTGACTGATTGCGTCCGGACCGTCGTGCCCGCACTGCGAATGAAGTCATTCGTGTTGGCGGTGACGGTGCTTCCGCCACGTGCAGTTTTTGCCCAACGACGGACGGAAACCACCACTTGGTGATGGCAATGGCATGCACACATGACATCCGTCACCTGGTCCTCATAATCCAGCCATGTATGGATATATCACTTGATCTCCGAGATGACGGCGCATGTCATCCATCGTCTTACTGTCCGTCACACTACCAGCGTACGACAGTTGTCCCTTCGCAGTCCTATGAGGTCGAATTCGATGACCCGACAACTCCAAAGGTCCGCCGCCCGGCCGTTCCGCTCTGAGGGCTCAAGAAGTCAGCTCGTATGCCGTTCGCGCCACCGGGCAAGCTGAACGGGAAAGGCGAAGCTGACACCATGGAAGAAACAAATACGACTTCTGGAAAGGGATTATTTCCTGGTCAGAGCGATCGATCGACTCTTTTTTTCCCTTTTCTTCACTTCCCCTTCTTGCTGAATACTATGTCTGAACGGCAAGTCCGGTTCGATTGGCATTGGACCCGGATTTTATGCCGGTATTAGTGCCAGCCGCCATACATGCTCAGCCACACACACTATCGGCGACGCCGGCATTCTCCGTCAAAAAGCACAACGACCCAAACCCCCGGGCCAATGGATCGCTTTCGCCACAGTTAAGCGTATTTTTGATTTTTTTTTCTTTCTCCTAACGGCATCATCAAATGAACCAACTCACCATGCAACGACGATGAGTCAGGAGGCAAAGTTGCCAATGCACCAAGAGCAGATCGTCGTATATTATTTGATTTAGGCAAGTCCAACCGTCCAGTGGCTCCGCGACCGCGACGAGCTGAAAGCTGAAAAAGAGTTCTTAGGCGGCTAGCAGCGGCAAAAGCCAGCTAGCTTGCCTTGCAAGATCTCGAAAGACATTGGACGTTCGTAATTTTCGCCTCTCCCGTATTGAGGGAAGAAGAGACGACCACTGCACCGCCGACTCGAACTTTGGTCTTTGCCTTCATTCGTTCCCTGCCACTGCCAGAGATGATCACTCTCTGACCAACTCGGCAAATCATTCAGGCGTCTGCCATCAGCTGTCTTGGTGATTCGGCCCGTTTAGATGGCCCATCAGCTGTGCGTCATCAGCTCGTGTCATTCGGATGCCTCTCAGATAAAGTCTCCGAGAGGAGATGATACTACCGAAAACTCGGGGCCTCGTCTGGTTCAGAAGGCGGATCTCCGCGGCTCCTGACTTGTATTTCGTATTTGAGGCTCTTGAGGTTCAGGGGTTAACATCCACACATCAACATCTCAGCTGGGTCACCGCTAGGCAACTGGACAGCAAGTGGGTAACGGTCAGCCGTGTTCGGGGATTCATATCTGAGAAGGGACAGTTACGGGAAGGTCGGATGCATCTGTTGGTGGCGGAAAAGATGAGCCTCCTGAGGCAGTCTTACATCTCACCAGGTCATCAACGACGTTACAAGCGACGACACCCTATTTTGCGCCTCGGCGAGTGTAGAAATGTTCAACCCTCGTGAATTTCGCCCGGCTCCAGGCAGAATAGCACTCGTCATCGAATGGGTGGACCTGAAGGCCTCAAATCCTCTTGTGGAATTGTGGAGGCGGAAAGTTCACCACGGCTTCTGCCTGGGGACTTGCGTCGACCAGAGGCAGCGCATTGCGATTTCCTTCTTTCTGTGGTGTATGGTTCTGGTTTCAGTTGCTTGCTCGACGTTCCAGCACGATCGGGAGGGGTTTTTCGAGTACTTTTGATACTTTGAAAAAGAAAAATCACGCCAGAGATTTGCTGTTCGTCATCATTCGAAACCGTACACCTACTTTGCCCGTTTTTAGTTAGGCATATCAGCATCCTCGCACTGATATAGATTGTTAATAAAACCCTGGCCCACGTACTGAATCCATACAATCCGACTGGCACATGGAGTCGCGAAGTGATTTTGGCGGTTTCCTGAGCTGCACCGTTGGCAACGCATCACTAATGCATTGGGCCTCAGTCCTGAAATCCAAACGATTACTGATGCCTGGTTTTGCATATTCGCCAAGCATATGCTACACGTGTAATATCGTTCGGAATGAACGCCAGTCTAGTATGACTCAGGTTCAATTCTCGGGACAACCACGGGAGTGATGAGCGTGTCCGATTGCACTTGGTCGATGCTGTCGTCACTTTCCAGAACCATGTCTACTACACAATGGCTGCTCTATGGTTATGGCATTTTCGGTCATTTGATTCTAGAACATGGGCGATTTTCTACTAAGACACGTGGCCAAGGCGGTTCTTCTTTTCTTGATAGGGCCTTACAGTTACATAACAATACATAAGCTCGGCAGGGCAACACGGTGTAGGTATCATGCCAGCTAACAATGGGTTTGATGGCAGTTCTGGAGCCCACTACTCTACAGGCCTGACTTGCATGGAAGCAAAGCAAATGGCGGAACTGGTGAGAAAGTTGTTGTGAGTCTGTCGGTATGTATCGAAGAACAAACAGATCTACACCCCTAGAAAAGAGAATGGCACGAATAAGAAAGAGCAAGCAGACATTTTCCGAATTCCAAATAATACAAGCTATTTTTCTCATAGTCAATGTCTGTCAATTTGCATTCGTCGAATTCGTCGAAGGATATGGAGGTAGGTTGAATGCGTTCCCGCCGTAGAGGAGTAGGCACGTGCCGATAATGAAAAGGAAGCCAATATCCCATACAGTCAGTACCTTCCTCACTCGTCTTCGGTGAGGTCGGTGATCGGAAAAAGAAAAAGTGGATACCTTGCGTGTATGCCTTAGGTACGTATTGTGCATATCTGCGGACCCATATGTTTCCCCACGTGTCTCACCTGCCAACTTTGCTTTGAATCAACAGTCGACATTGGCTCAAGTTCCAACCATCATCAATCATACCACTCGTTCAGCATCCGGTTTGCCTCTCAAAGCATGGTCAGAATTTTCATGTTAGATGACGGAACCACTCATTCCTTATCTTTATGGGCCAACATTCATTCTCCCTTCGTGTCTGCCTATCCCGCCTCACCTAGGCTACCGATGAAGAATTCAGGACCATGTCAGTGGCACCACGGGTATCGAGAATATCTAGCCTGAACTGTTTGCCTTTTTTTTATTTTTTATTTTTTTATTTTTATCTATCGTTCTTCTTCATCTCCGGTGTCACCTTACGCACGTCTCACCACAATCACCCGGTTTCTGGATCCAGGCTACGACGCGCAACCTGTGGAAGCCTCGCGCTCGTCACGCAGCAATCTCCCGACCGTGGCCAACGACCGGCTTTTTCCCAGGAGGCAACAAGAGGCAACCCCACGGCACGTTCCCCGAGACGACGCCTCTTCGTGTTGGATCACGGCCTTGGGAGATGCGCAGCCACCCGTCACATTAGGACCGTTGGCTCGTGATCGTCGGTGAGCCTATCCCGAGACCGGAAGCCAGTTTCTCTAAAGCAACACGCGCGCGGCGGGCAGATGCTCATTTCGGCTAGAAAAAGGCAGCAATACGCCCGCCACGCGCTTTGTCAAGAGAATCCCGTACTATGTAGCCAGGCCCTGGTGTAATCACCGGGGCCGGGACGGCGGCACGTTGTAGCCGAGCGCTAGCAAACGACGAACCCCCCCGACAAGGCGCCACGCGACTAGCCAGTGTAGCCTGCGCAAGTGCGACTATTTTCACTATTTCCATCAAGTCTTGCGCGTGCGCCCCCCCCCCCCCCCCCCCCCCCCCCCCCCCCCTAACAGACATCACCAACGCCCTCGCCGGATGGCCATCGATTGACAAGTGTCTTTTCGTATTTCCGCCTGATGATGCAGCCTCCCCGGCAGCCTGCCGTCTAGGGGGCACCACCAACACCGACACGGGGATAGCTGCTTCCTGTCGTATGGGCGAGGCGTCACCGGCCTTTTCAAAATTGATTGTCTTGCCTTTGCCTTACAAGGCCACCAACAACTCGGCCTGGATCTGGAAATCCCTTCCTGCTTCGGGGCCATCTTCCTCCCTTCCATTGAAGTTTCAATTGGATATCAATGGGAGATTGCCCAGCCAAGGCTATTGTGTTTGGCTGCCTCAAACATTCAGCAGGGGAAGAGGGGGGCATCGTGCACCGTTGCTTGGTCTATCAAAAAGGGAGGGCGTCGGCCGCTCTTCTTCCCGGTCTTGGTTATGCGACCAAAAGAAAAACAAGGCTTCGGCGCCCGTACTTGCGGCAGTCTTGTTTGCGAGTTGTCCTTTTGCGGCTCGGCAGCCGTGGTAAATGCAATCGACCAGCGGCCGTTGGCCCGCCTTGTTTATTTTCAAAAACATCATCCCCCTTTATTGGCTCCCACTCGCTTGAAGTGTCCTCCTGTCGCACCAACGACGCTCCGGTTGAGGTCACTATTGAGTTGCCTTTTTTGCAATATTGGCACATTGGACTCCCTTTCCGCACGAGTAAGCACGGCGTGTACCGTAGGCCGATGCTTTATGCATGCCAGGGGGTTTCATTGCTTTCTTTTCTCGCCTCCAACGCCCCTTGCATTAATTATCACAGATATTCACCTCTATAGGCCCAAGTCGTCAAGGTAATGCTATGATTTGCAGGCATCAAGGGACGCCGCAGACTTCAGTCCAGCCGCCTCGTATTTGTCAGACCCCTGAATAAGGCAGCAGCTCGCATCCTCCCCCCGCCCCCCTTCCCCTTTATTGTGTTTGATACACACTTTTTTATACTGGGGGCTTCATAAACGCGGTGACTAACGAGGAAACGGCCGGCTGGTGGCAGGAGAATGACCAAGCCCGACAACGTCGATCGGGTGGATCACACAGGACGGCCCGAGAAGACGGGGAGGGGTGGGGGTGCCGATGATGCCGAGGGGGCTTGCGGCATGCTCGGTCCGTCATTGCCAGCAGAACCGGACGAGCCGGGACAGCCATCGGCGATCCCTGGACGTGGTTTCTCATTTTCGGGTCGTCGCGTTTGTCACGCCCGTTTCCTCCGAGCGAAACTCCCTAAGTGGGTAGGTAGTCCACACCGGCTTTCCCACTTTTGGTCTGGCTTCGGTCGCACAAAAAAGCCTGACCGATGTTTCACAACTTTCTGAGACGACATTCGAGCCTGCCCCGGAACTGAGGCGCGTACGTCCCCCGGTCTTGGGCAACATCGAGCCCAGGTTTCGCACATCAAACGCGGTTAAAGAGCAATGCCGCCCGACAAGCTTTTCGTCTCTCCCAAGCTCGGGACTTTGGTCACAAGGTGACGGTTACGGGTCACATCGTCCCGGCGCGCCACGCGAGGAAGAGTCGACTGCAGAGATCGCCTCGTCCTGCACCGCCGTCCAGCCTCAGATACAGCCCGGCGGCGTCATATCGTCACATTGCTGCGACCCGAGAGGATGCGATGGCTGCCTTGACGCATGGCGTGCTCCACTTACGCCCTGTGGACTTATATTCTTGGGCGTCAACGTCCCTTCATTGGGGGTCCAGAGCTGGGCTACATTCATTAATAGTGGGCTCTGTTTCGATGCAGTCTCTCCATTCGCAGTCGTGGCATCCCGCCATTCGGGGCCTCGCAGGCGAGGGATCGAAACGGAGCACCGTCGTGGCCCGTATCGGAGACATATCCAGGCATCTCAAATGCGGAAAAACAGGGCTGTCAAAATCTTCAATTTCATGGCTGTAGGAGCTAGCCAGCCTCCTGGTTGGGTTGCTGGGCTCTTGTGATCTCTTAGCTCGAGACGAGCGGCCGGCCTACTGACGCGTCTTTGTTAGGATGCATCTGCGGATGTGCACGTCTATTACCCGCGTCGCAAGGCCTGCTTTCCGGCGCCCCGCGCGTCTATCATTTTTGACCAAAACCATCCATGCTGATGGCCGGCCAGAGCCAATGGCATGTATGGCTCACCCGGTGTCCCATTCGACTTGGTTTCTTGGAGTGCTCATGCGAAGCCATGGCCGGCCAGGGGGAGGAAGGCACTAGGGGTCTGCCGAATGAAACGAAGGAGCATTAGCCGCATATCCCCGTTCTCATTGGCCGTACCCGTTTCCCCAGCAGGCCGATTGCTAGAGGCCAGCTCGGGCGGCCGATCTCGCATTTGAACGAGGCCGCGGGAAACTATTCTCAGGCGCGTCACAGGGAAGTGATCTTTAGCGGGTAGTCTATCCGTAGTCCGTAAGGCTCATCCAAGGCCCCAGGATAGTCCTTGTCCATCCCCGCTTCCCAGGGCAGATCTGCCGTCTGGCCCGCGAAATGAATACACGATGGCAGGCGGCCTCGACACCGACGACGACGATCGACGAACAAGGCAACGCCTAAGATTCCACGCCTCGCACCATCTACATATCCTTCCAGCGCCCCACGATGAGACAGCGAGAAGCAACACCCCCAACAAAAGGTGAGGCACCGATGGGTAAGGATGCCTACGAAGGAGTCGCAGGTCTCGGATCAGTAATATTGAGACGGTGAGCGTCACGGCGGGGAACTCTTTTTTTGCGGAACACGCTCCATCCAGGCAACAGCTTCCTCTTGCGGGTCCTTTTCTGCAGGTCCTACGGGTTCGTCTCGAATCCTCTTCTGTCTCTACGCGCTCCTGGTTCAGCAGAGAAGAAGAAGAAGACGAAGAAGAAAAGCGGCCATTATCTATTCCAGATTTCTACGTATCATTCTGTTTCAGCCTCATCGGTTCCCCCCCACTGTGAAATATAACAAGTAAAATGCCGGTCGTGATCGATATCGGATCAGATCCGTCGTACAGAGGAGGTCCGACGTTGCTCGAAGAAAGCGCGCATTCTTACTCGACGTTACGGCAAAAGCGCTGAGACATGCATCGGTGACACGGCTACGGCCACGGCATGAACTTGAGGGGTCCCTTGTCATCCCCCACATAGGCAGCAGAGGCGTACAAATCTCATGAATCTGCCGCCTTTGCGAAACTCAAAACGCCACATGGGGGGGCTTGTTTTGTTGACCAGGACAACGGAGATGAACACGCTATGGCAGGTGACCTTGTCGGTGTCGTACACGCACTCGGTCCCAGCCTCCCCGAGTGCGCCGTCAGACGTAAGGCGTTGATCGAGGTCAACGATCAGCCGTTGTCGGGGCTGGAGTTCCACGAGAAACTTTTGTTCTTTTCTTTTGTGCTAACCGTAAGGCATATGTTGCTGCTTCATGATTCCAAACAGCCAAGAGGAGATGGATCCCCAAGCGTCGTTGCCTTGTGGATGTAACCCAAGGACGGAAGCCCAAAGTCTCGGACTCCCGGGGTCCCATTACCAGGGCGGCGCAAGGTTCTCGGCACCTGCGCTCGGAAGCTGGGGGAGGGGCTATTGTGTATATGTCGAGTCTATCTTACTTTACCGAGTTATCGGTGAACGTCCTCTTCAGAGGAGGGCAGGGCGTTCGAGGAAAGAGACGCGCTGTGCAGGAAGGAAAAGAAAGGAAAATAACCTCGCGTCTTTGATGGGGGGGCGGTGAGGAACTTGACCGACTTCAAGCCCCGGGGCGCCGGTGCGGGCGTTAGGCTACGGGGAACCGTTTATTCTTGGATTCTGCATATCTGATGTTTGCTAGACCGCAGACGGCTTAAACTTCCTGCAGCAGCAGCAACAGTTTTCCAGCCCTCTTCATCGAAAAAAAAAAAAATTGGAAAGAGGAAGAGGAAGAGGGGGGGGGAAACGGAACAAACAAACGAGCGGTGTAAGCAAACATTGACCAGGGCAGACCCGACAATCTCTACCTTCCCTCTCTTACCCCTCTAGTTCCTCGAGATGAATACAATCATCTTTCCGTGTCTTATTGTTGCGCCCTCTTTTAGAATTGAAATAAATAAAAAAAATACAATCCTTTGCCGGCGTCGGGGTCTCTCCTTTGGGAAAGCCCATGCGTCCGCGGCACCGACATCACAGAATGCATGCCAGACAATGCAAGCCCCCCCCCACCGTCCGCCCTTTTCGGCTCAAAACAATGAGATAAAGCGGCTTGTCACCGCCGGTTTTCGGCCTGATGCTCCCGCCCCGCCCACGTGTAGGTATATGCTTTGCCCGGCCGTGGAGGACAGGGCTGGCCATAGTACGCGTGACAGCGGTACACACAAGGACCGTACAGTTGGTCCTGGTCTAGTGGATAGCCGCAGTAAGGCATCCGCTGAGCTGCAGTATTAAAGACATTGTCGATGGAGAAGGGGGGGGGGGGGGGGGTGCTCTACGGGTCACAAGAGTGGGAATCAGAGAAAAGTGCATCCAGGCGCCTGCTTTCCGCCTCGACTAGGTCCCAAAGAAGGCCGTCCAGCCGCGGAAGCTCGCAGTCAGCAGGGCGTTTTCGTTTTTACCGATTTCCAAACGAGGCCTTTGCCCGGGCAGAGTTTTTCTACAACGTTTGTTTGTTTGTGGGAAACCTTGACATCGGCCAGGGCCTCGTTGTTGAACGAGGGGAGGGGGGGGGGGGGGGGGGGGGGGTTGCCTTGCCACGAAAAGGCTACACCGCAAAGCCTTGCCTTTCGCTCGATATGTTGTCATCAGTTGCATCACTACGGGTACTGACAACGACAACAACAACAAAAACAGCAACAAGACCCCGAAAGTGTAGGGGGGCCGGGATGTGGAGTGTAGGACGCCTTCTTCGGCGGCCGGACACCACATCGTTAAGGCTACTGACACATGTGACATCCCTGCTGCTCGACGTGGCTGCACCAACCGTCTGATGTGGGTTACCGCCCTACGTAGTGCCGGGGTCGTCGTGGCGTGTTGGTCTGATGTCTTGTGGTGTGAAAGGGTTAACCGGATGGCAACAGAGTTCGGCCGGGCGACGGCCCGGTGTTTGGCAGTTCAGGAGGGGGATCTAATCTGATCGCGGCTCTTCTCCGTCTCCGCTGTGAACGAGTCCATTATCTGTCCCAAGAAGGCAATCGTCATCATGTAAACACGTCTGAATACCGCTATCTCTCTCTCTCTCTCTCTCTCTCTCTCTCTCTCTCTCTCCGCATGAAGGGCTGTGACGATGGGAACTTTCTCGGTGAGAGGCCTCGAGTCAACGACATATCTGTCAGGCCTGGAACTCAGACACCGGCAGCATGTTTACAGGAACGGTTGGGTCGTGGTTTGGAACAACCGCTAGTCACTTGCAAATTGCTGGGTGGTCCGTCCAGCCATGAAGACGTAAAGAGACTAGGCGTTCATTGTGCTCCTACATTCTTCAGACTTGGGACCGGAAAGCTGGGGTGTCACTCGAAAGCCTCTCAATTGTGTGCCGTTGTGGTTGAAGATAATATCAACAGAGCCCATTCGGTTAAATCGGCTCGCCATGAAGACCGACGCTCCCTCTCTTTACCCTCGTGTAGTTCCACTCCACTCGCCCTCCGTCATCCTCCTCCCAACCCGTCGCGACCGAGTCTACACGCCGCTGTCGATCCTTGGCAGCACGAATTCAAAGCTTCACCAAGTTGCTGAATCGAAGGAAAATCCGGCCACCCGTCTTAACCGTACTCCTCCTCACAACCCACATGACCCATCCCCGAATCCTGGCCTCTCGGCCCGTTTCTCCAATGTGACCACTAGAATCCTCACCGTCGCTGATGCCCAGGCCACGCGCAGGTCTCGGTATAGGTGGTCTCTCGAACGTCCGGGTCGCCATAGCGGGCAAACACCGCACTCCTGCAAACATTAGTAGCCCCCCTCCCCCGCTCCACTCGCGTGAGATGTCTGTAACTACCCCAAAGGCATTGGTCTTCGAGACCGTGGCAAAGTTAAGCTCCTTGAACTGTATCGTCAAGTTCGAACTCGACAGGACGAAAGACACTCCTCCTTATTGGCGGTGCCACGACGAGGGCGGTGCGGTGTTTGATGTGTCGAGGAACGCGGCCCTGGTCGCCAGTCCACATGATTCTACGATCAATGCCAACCTGGCGGACAAGATCAAGCTAGAGACAGTGCAGGGTCGATATCGACCATGTCACAACGCACGCAGAGGGACAGTAACGTCCCGTTCGGTGGCAGCAGCCACGGGCCTGTCTCGTCCATTATTGTCCAAAACACCAACACGAGGCGCGGAACAAGGTTCCCCGTCAGAGACGTTGCATGAACTCGAATTCAATTACTTCATTTCTATCATATGCTCTGCTTTTCTACGCCCAACGCATGTTTGTCTGCTTCTTGCGCACCTGCAGTCGTCGTTAGTAGGAGGTCGGCCCTCTTCAGGCGGAAGAGGTACTTACAATGGGACCCAGCACCGCAACACCGGCGGTGAGTGCGAGGACGGTCGAGATGAGGCTGATCTTGTTGAAGCCTTTGCCGAGGATGTCGAAGGTGAAGCTGGGGGCGACGCGGCTGCCAAACACATCGACACCGTACGCCAAGACCAAACTGGTGCTCTCCACGACGGTGGGCGAGGTGATGATCTTCTTGACACCGATGACGTCGCGCTGGTGGGTGATGACCTGTCTAGGGTCGATCTCCAGGACCGGGTGGTACCTGACCAGGCCCTCGGCTTCCATCTCGGCGGGTGTCGGGTCACGCCCCACGGGCCGGCGCGGCTCGAGCAGCTGGCGCGGAAGCCCGGCAATGGCGTGGGACTGGGGCAGATAGCCGAGGACGTGACGGCTGGTGATGCCCTGGCGCGTCTGGGTGACGGCCAGGGCAGCAATGGGAGCAGAGAGGATCCAAGCTTGGCTGATCACCGACGGGAGTGGGGGGCCGGTCGGAGTATCAACGGGCTCGGTTGACGAGAAGTTTGCAGCATCCCCCAGCGGGCCTCGGTCGTCGGGGTATTCGCTCTCGTACAGGTCGGAAACGACGATTTGGTAACCCTTGAGGGTTTGGCCGGAAAGAGGCTGACCCGCATCGTCCTTGAGGGCGTACTCGCCAAAGAATGTGCACGCGAACCAGTTCTCAGCCAGTGTGCACTCAACGTCCTTGGTGCCATCAACCCCCTCGTGAGTGGCGGTGTGAAGAAGCAGACCCGAGACCGAGTCAACGAGGTAGACGTTGAGGGTCGTCTTGGCGGCATTGTACGCAGAGACGACGATGGTGTTGGGGTTCAGGTACTTGTACTTGACCCTCCTGTCACCGAGAACGCGGCCGATGGACGCAATCGGGTCGTGGGCGGGCCGTGTTGCGACGTTGACGATTTCGTATCCAGTAGGGGGAGAAAACTCCCAAGCGACCTGTTCCTTCCCGGTGCCATCCTCGATGATGTAGGTCAGGCCCTTGAGTTCGCCCTTCAGGCCGCGAACGACAACGGTCTGCGTCGGCGCCCATTCAGCAGGAACATCGCCGATGGCGCCGCCGTACCCGACAGGGGCAAGCCACTGGCCGGATGCGCTGTCGACGACGACGGCAGATTGTGTTTGGACCCAGGAGCCTTGGGGCATGGAATCGACCAGCTTTCCGGTGTCGGTTTTGGCAACGACATACTCTCCGAAGTAGCCTCGCACTGTGACTTGGGTCTTTGCATCCTCGACAAAGATGCCCTGAACATCCCATGCATCCCATGAGGGGATCTGAGCGGCGTGAAGCTTCCAGATGACCTTTCCATGCTTGCCAATGTCAAGGCCAAAGAGCTTGCCACGCCGGGTGACCAGAACGGCAATCTTGTTGAAGCCAAAGGCATCGCGGGCGAGACCTTCCGTCTTGGAAGAGAGTTCGGCTCCCGTGATGCTGCTGACCAGACGTTGGGGGATCGAGGCGAGGTAGTCGGGCAGGTAAGCGAGGTCGTCAAAGTGACGCTTGAGACGGTGAATGTAGGCGGACACGACGTTGTCGTGGGCCTCGGCCTCGAGGGTCTTGGCCAGATCCTCGCTCTCGGGGATCTCGGCGAAGGCAGCGGCAACACCGCCGGTGAGGCCCTCGGGACGGATCCAGGCCTGCTCTCCGTTGCGGACAAGGACCCAGTCGTCCAAGGTGGTGACTGCGGCACAGCGAACGGCGAAATTGTCGGCGGCCTTCTTGATGACCTCGGAAACGGCGTGGATGGCGGTGACGCTCTCTGAGCCTTCCTTGAAGGCCCACTTTCCGAGGACAGCGTGGGAGCTCGAAGCTGTCAGAACGACTTCCTCCTGGGTGATGCGAGTGAACCAAACGTTGGCGCCATCCGAGCTAGTCGAGAACGCGCCCGGACCCGGAAGCACGGGCAGCTCATGGTGCTTGGTGACTGCGTTGTTCTTGATGTTGACGTGGTACACTTCGCCCTTGTGGCTGTCGGCGGATCTGCTATGGACAAGAAAGTGCGGCTCGGCGTTGAGGTGGTGCGGGGCATGGATGGCGACGTCCAGCGTCTGGGGAAACGGCAGAGCGAATTCCTGCTTCGACTTTGTGCCCAAAACGTTGACCTTGAGCTTCGTGTGGTCGCTGTCGAGCCAGGCGACAATGGGGGATGCTGAGTTGGCGCCCACAAACATGACGTCCTTCTTGTCTGCTACGTCGCCCTTGCTGCCGAGGTTGATGTCGTCGACACGCTTGCCAGTGAGAGTGTCGTGGACAGACACGCGCACACCCCACATGCCTTGGGCACCGTAGAGGCTGACCACGAAGATCTTCTCGATGTTGTTCGAAACCTGGAGCGGGGTGGTGTTGCTCGGGTCCTTGAACTCCCAAACCACGCTGCCGTCGCCCCCGTTAATCCTTCTCAGGACAGTAGTGCCGTCGGCGTCCTCAAAGAGCGCCAGGACATCCTTGCGTCCGTTCTCCGTCAGCTCCATCACCTCGAGATCCCGGATCTCACCCTCAAAGTCTATCCACCAAGCGTTCCTTCCCGACAAGGCGTTCCAGGCATGCACCGAGTTGCCGTACGCTGATACAACCCAGTCCTCGCCCTCGGCCGCCCGCAAGTGTCCGCCGCCATACGTGATATCTCCCGTCAGGAATTGGCGCCAAACGACAGCGCCATTGCTAGGGTTGACAGCACCGAGCACGCCGACATCGCTGAGGGTATAGAGCAGAGAGGCCTTGTCGTCGCGCCGGGGCTTGTGGAACAGAGTGGTTTCGACCTGGGGGACGCCGAGGAGTTCGTGGTGGTAATCGATATCGCCAACCTCATCGACGAAGACGGCGCCGACGAGCGATGAAGCTGCAATGAGCAGCGTCGTAAGGCGCATTGTGACTTGGGGGGTTGGGGTTCTGAGCTTGTCGTGGAGATGGACAGCTCCGAAAGTGTGTGAAGGAAGCTCGCACGTCACTCTGAAGGTGGCAGCGCAAAGGGTGCGTTGCGTTGCGTTGCGTTGCGTTGTGTTAGCTGTACAGAGCAGACAGAGCACGCAGGGTACGTACCTCGGTGGGTAGGTTCCCCGTTGGAGGCGTGTGGCTGATTGGATGTGTGGGGGGGAAAGGGAAAGGGAGGTCTGTGCCGGCGCGCGCGCGACATTAACAGCCGAAAGCTTTCTGAAGATTGCAAAGGCCCTCCCGCCGTGCGACTTTCCACCTCCGCGGCCGACGTCGACTCTACTCCCTGGAAGCCCGACCGCCCTCTCGGTCTCTAGAGCTCTCAAAATGGTAAGTACATGGTGGACTCGTTTCCAGGGTGCCAAATCAGCTAACATGTGCAGGCGCGAAATTCGGAAAAGGCGCAGAGCATGCTCTTTCGCTTCCGCGAAGCACAAGCAGCAGACCTGGGCATCATCGACATCGGCCGGACAAGGCGACCGAGAGTCATCACCGAAGTCGACTCGATACCCTCTTGCGAAAAATGGCGTGGCCAGGTGCTGAAGGAGATCTCGCGCAAGGTCTCCAAAATCCAAGACACGGCACTGAGCGACTATCAGATCCGCGACCTCAACGACGAGATCAACAAGCTCATGCGGGAGAAGTACATGTGGGAGGTGCAAATACGAAACCTCGGCGGTCCGAACTACATGCGCGGGGGCGGCAAGATTTACGACGAGCAAGGCCGAGAGATACCGGGAGGCGGCAAGGGGTACCGCTACTTTGGACGAGCGAGAGACCTCCCCGGCGTCAAAGAGCTATTCGAAGCGGCCAAGGCCAAGGCGACGGACGAGAAGCCCCTGGAAACGAGAGACGACTTGCGGAAACAGGTCGACGCCGCCTACTACGGCTACGCACCAGACGAGGAGGATCAGGAACTGCTCGCGTACGAGCTAGCCAAGGAAGAGGAAGCGTTCGAGCACATGGCCAAGACAGGCAAGCAGCAGCCGCCGCCCGACTGGGAGCCATTGCCGGGCGACACGGGGGATGGAAAGGGCTGGGAGTTGCCGACGCTGGAAGAGGTGCAGGAGGAGCTGATCAACAGGCGGCGGCAGAAGCTGCTGGACCAATTATAGCAGCCAAGTCGTACGCTGGCTTTCCGCGTACGATAATCACTGCCTCAATATTTTCCGGAGGGAAAATGCTCGCTTTTGGAACGCTGCACGGCTGCTGTATCATATTTCAACGTTGGGAGTTCAGTCATGGCCCTGTGATGACGGCCGGCGTTCTAGGATGGCTTACGGTTAATCGAATACCAAAAATGATATTTGTCGCCAACTTGGAGCGGAATCATACCATACGCATCAAATTGGTCTAATTACTGCTTGTCCCGAACATGGACGGTAGCGGAGCTGCTTCACACTGTTTGATGATATTCGGGCCTCAGATGGATGAGTTGGGCCTGGTGGGCTCGGTGAGCGGGCCGATAAGATAAGGCGCCACGTGACCGTCGCGAACTTGAATTCGAGCTTCGAAGCTCGACTTTTTGATGACACGACCAGTGACATCCCAGCCCAATTCCGCCACCACCACCGCCAAAATGTCAATGTTCCGCGCCAAGAAGCTCGATCTGGGCTGTTTCATCAACATCCGGACGATTCGTGACCACACGAAGCGTCAGGTCTTCATGGAGCACGAACCCGAAAGGTGAGCCAGCGCAGACAGAAACCACCCACGCCGTGAGACGCTGCGCAGACCAAAAGACTGACAAAGGCAACCCACCCCACGACAGACAGGCTCTCCGCTACATCATTCGGAACACGACGCTCCCTCCGCGTGTGCGCGCCGAGGCGCAGCTCCAGCTGGGCCAGATGCACTGCTACACCCGGCCGACGCAGATCCGCAACCGCTGCATCTTGGGCGGCAAGTCCAGGGGTGTTCTCCGCGAATTCAAGATGTCGAGGGTATGTCAACGAGGCATTCCCGTCGGGGGCTCCAATTCCGTGTTCTAACATTCGGTCCTAGTTCAACTTCCGTATGCAAGCGTACGAGGGCAACCTGCCCGGTGTCAAGAAGGCCAGTTGGTAAAGAGGTGCGTGGGAGGGAGGACGATACAGAGCAGTACGGCGTGGGAGTGTCACTGTACAATACAAAGTGTTTGGCACGCTCTTCCGGAGGGCGGGAGACGTCTGCGTGCTCAGGCGCTCATAGACGGATTGGGTTTAGGAGTTTGGTCGCATGCGAGCCACCATCAAGATTTGTACAAATATATAACACCAAGAAGAGAATGTACAACATCTCCAATCAGCTGTAAGTTGGGTTGGAAGAGGCCCCAGTGTTCGATACAAGGCAGAAAGAGACGGGACGACCATGCGTTCTTGCCCTCTTTGTCTTGTGATTCATATCATGTCTTCTTCCGTCTCGTTGTGCGCCTCACTTTCATTCGCTCATACCCGTTTGCCTATGCCTTGATCGAGTTCTTTCTGAAGAAAGCAGGGGCACATTTCTTCTCATCTACCTTCAACCTCCTACCTCCGTCAACACCACCATCTCATTCGCAAGCCACTATGTTCCGCCGTCGCTGGTCTGGTCTCCCCGAGGACCCTATGTTCCCATCCAACCTCAAGGACCTCGGGCAAGTCTTCCCTCTCGTCTCGTCCAGAGTTGGGAAAACTAACACTCGCAGCTACTTCGTCAACGACCAAGACGAGATTCGCAACATCGAGAACCCCAATTACTACTTCAAGTACTACCTCACCAAGAATGGCCGGGTCAACGATCGCCAGCGCTTCCACTTCAACGGTAGGAACCAATCAGTTGTCTCCGTTTGTTCGTCCTTGGTCGCTGACTCCCAATAGAAGCTATTCGCGATATCGTCCACGACCGACTCGAAAAGGAAGGCATGAAAAAGGTTCTTCTTCCCATTGGCGCCCAGCCGACATCGCCCCATGTGCCAATTTTCACCAGTGCGGACTTGTCCACGGCGTCGCGGGTCATCATCGTCTTCGGCGAGCCTAGCCAAGACCTCGGTATCTTGGCCCTCCGGGTCGCCAACGGCCCTGGCGGCATCAACAAGGGCTCCATGGTCTCGGTCGTCCAGGAGATCGCCCGCCAGACGTCGTCCGCCTCTGCTCCGTCCCCGCCCGGCATCATTCTAGCCAACACGGGCGAGCTCTGGTGGTGGCCGGAGGGAAAGAAGGCCCTGAGCCCTACTTCCGCCCATGCCGTGCCGCAAAAGAGCATGGTTCATCACGGCCGCGCGTTCAACCCGAAGCTTCACTCGATCAGCAAGAACGAGACCCCCGAGGCGCATGTTCGATACGTCCTTGACGAGGCTCTCCCCGCGCTCGTTCCCTCGAGCGCCCGCCTCGACATCGTCGGTATCGGCCTGGGCGCCGACCACGTAACCAGGGCCCTCGACAGCCCGGACACTTGGTCCGTTCTCGGACACCGGATCAACACGTTATCGCTCCTCGGCAGCACGACCGCCATCGACGAGCTCTCCCACGAGCCGCTCAAGGAGTTCCTTCCCCGCCGCGCCCGGGCGTACATCACGGACGAGACACCCGCCCTCACGCCCCTCGCCCAGCCCGGCGGCAACCCCAACACTGCCTCCTTCACCCAGCACGGCTGCACCGTCTTCAGCTCCGGCGAGGAGCACTACGTCGAGCGCATGTTTATCACCAGCCGAGCCCCGATCCTCGACTGGATTCAGGAAGTTGCCCTCGCGGGTCAGGGTTACCGACACCCGGCGGTTGTGGCCGTCGATCCGCGCGTGCCGACCGAGGAGGAGTGGGCCGCCGGTGGCTTCGACGAGACCTGGGAGAGATTGCCCGAGTTCGCGAGGCCGAGCCTCGGATATGCCACGACATACGAGGACCATGAACATTGCACCGTTTTGGAGGGTATTCGGGAGATTGCGAAGAGTCGGGCTACGGATCACAGCGAAGGGGATAACGAGTAGACCCTGGGAAGAGTCGGACACGGGATATTCGCGTGAGTAGCCATCTCGTACGTAGGGGAATGGTCCTGACTGGACATGGTCCGGACAGCCTGGAGAGGGATGCGAGTGTAGTGGCCATTCAAAGAAAGCATTCTCTTCGCCATCGTCCATGTTGTATCTCCGTGCAAGTGGGGAAATTGGCCTCGGGGGTCTGACGAGAGAGTCGGATGCCTCTGTACGACCTTGGCCATACCACGAGTTTGGGCTTCCATATACAAGAACTCGTTGGAACCAGAATACACGCTGACAAACGCATTCGTCTATCCGATGCCATGTCCATAATCAGCAATGCGCAGGGGGTTGGCGGTAGCAACAAAAACAAAATAAACACACACACACACACACACACACACACACACACACAAAAACAGAGAAAGAAAGAAAGAAAGAAAGAAAGTAAAAAAATCCGTACTAGTCGCTGCTTCCTGTCGTCCCCCTGCTGTCTTCAGAACGCCTAGTATCCAAGTCGCCGGGGAATACGGCGTTCCCCTTTTTGCACATGATGCAGGCAGACACTCTTCAATCCGCAGTACTGAGTGGGCTTGTCGCATGTGGACGTGAAGGTATTCATCTGGTATCATTACCCCCACCCCCTGAAATATGAACAGTATTATACAAGTCTTGCCGCTCCTACCGCAACATTGACGCCCGGGAGATACAGCAACTCCATACACATTTTCCCTCTTTTCTTTTCTTTTCCTTTTTACACCTTGAGCAGAGAGGCCAGTCCAGCGGCGGGCGGCTCGACCTGCACCAATAGCTCCCTCGTCCGCCGCACCCTCTCGTTGACGACCTTCTCCTCCGCCGCCCACCTGCCCTCGTCGCCGTCGTCGTCGTCGTCGGCGGCGGCGGTGGTCTTGGCCTCGCTCCAGAAGCCAAAGGCGGATCTGACGGGACCCGCCTTTGCCTTGGCCTTCTTCGCCTCCTTCTCCGCCTCCTCCTCCCGGGCCAGCCTCGCGACCATGGTCGACCAGTTCTGAAGCCCCGTGCTGAGGCACTCGCGGCACGTGCGCCGGGCCTCGCCGTCGCCGCCCGACGGGCCGATGGCGCGGAGCTGCTCCTCGGCGAGGTCGACGGCGTCGCGCGTCCACACGAGGCCCTCCTCGCGGTTCGGCCTGCGTCCGCCGTCATCGGCGGCGTAGAGGATCTCGCCGATGTACAGGTTGAGCCCGGCTTCCTCGCAGAGCTCGCGGGGGTGCCGCCAGGGGGGGCGGGAGCCGTCGTCGGGCGGCGGCGGGTACGTGGGCGGGCGGGCGAGGTCCCAGACGCGCTGCCAGAGGGTGGCGGGGCGGGCGTCGGAGGGGCGCTCCTGGCCGGCGGCGGGCGTCTGCGGGAGGGCGCGGCGGGCGCGGAGGACGGAGACGAAGATGGGCAGGGCGGCGCCGACGTCTCCGGCGCGGGCCTTGTGCAGGGCGATGGAGGTGAGGACGGTCAGCAGGTTCTCGGACGGCGGCGGCGACGACAGCTTGTCGTTGACGAGGGTGTAGGTGCGGGGGTCGACCCGGGGCGGCGGGCCGGACGGCGCCGTGCCCTCCTCGGTCGCCAGGGACAGCGCCCACTGGTACATCTTCTCGGCGGCGTCGGGCAGGTTCTTGTAGTCGAGGAAGGAGGCGTAGCGCAGGGCGGCGTCCATCTTCTGGCGGTTCGTGAAGCCCCTGGTGGTGAGGATGCGCAGGTAGTGGTTGTCGGCGGGCTCGCAGGCGGGCTCGCAGTCCTCCTCCTTGGGGGCGCTCTGGGCGCCGGCCGGGATGGGTTTCGGGCGCGGGTTCGAAGGGCCGATGACGACCTCGGCCGGGAAGACGAACTTGCTCTTCCTGTCCCTGACCCAGCCGTCGAGCTGCTCCGAGGCCTGGGCCAGGAGCATCAGCACCTCGTAGTAGCCCCGCCTCCAGTTCTCGCTCTTGGCGGACAGGTCCTTGCCGGCGGCGCCGACGCCTTCGATGGACAGCGGCTCGTCCAGGAGCTCGCGGATGCCGGCGCCGTCGCCGGCGGGGTCCTCGAGCCTCTTGAGCATCTCCCGGCACGACACGAGGACCTCGACCCAGTCCACGTCGCGGCTCTGGCTGCCCTTTGCGGCGTGCTTGGCGCCGCGCACGCCGATGCGCGTCAGGAGGGACCACTCGTGGGGCGTCGGGTGCTCCTTCTCCAGGGCCTCCTGGTTCAGCAGGAAGACGATGCCGAGGACGCACAGGGCGCCGCCCCAGATGGAGACGTTGTAGCGGAGGAACAGGCGGCCCTCGTAGCGGAGCCAGCGCTTCTTCTCGGTCGTGAAGTAGCGGACGCGGGGGTGCCGCGGGGAGGCGACGGGGATCGACAGGAAGGGGAGCTGCGGCCGGCCGCGCGAGGCGAGGGGTGTGGTGTTGCTCGTGAAGGGCCGTGTGGTCTGGAGCCGGAAGAGCCTCTGGAGGAGGATCCGGCGGAGGGCTAGGCGCTGGCGCATCGTGGCTGCGAGGGGCGGCCCGGGTGGGGGGGGATTCTCGATTACGTGTTTGGTGTATTCATGTATCTGCGCGGTTTTTTCTCGTAGTTTGTGCACCTTTGGATCTCGAGGTCGCGGGACGCCTTTTGTTGTGCGGATGATGATGCAGTTTGGGTGTGTTCGGTGAGCTCGAAGCTTGAGGACCGGGGGGGTTGGGGGGTGGGAGCTGCTAATTGGGCCACCAAAAGATTTCGGTGCCGCTGTGGGGGGACAGAATTGGCGGCGGTCGGAGCAGTCGGTGGGTGGTTGTTCCGCTTCAAGTCGGGTTCACGGCTGCTGATTGGCCACTCACCTTGTCAACCTTTTATTTTTATTTTATTTTAACTATCTTTTTCTTCTTTACCTTTCCCCCGTTGACCTTTGACCGCCGGCGATGGCGCAACCCCGATTTTGCGACTGAGGCCCGTTTTTTTTATATTGTTTGTGAGAGAGAGTCCCGTGAGTGTTGTATGTATGTGTAAGACTGGCCAAGTTGACGGTTACTCACCATATATATCTCCTGCTCTGATTTGTAGCCTCTTGATTTATCCCCTCTCCACGATGAACAGGCGAGGTTGAATATGTCTTCGTTCTTCTCCAAAGCGGCATCGAGTCCGCATGCACAACTAGCTGCCACGGCGGTATTGTCAGGCGCGACGGTGGCATGTCTCATTTTCGGATACCAAGCATTCGAAAGAAAGGAACGCATCGAGCACTTGAAAAGGTCCATCCCGTCGTCTTCTGTGGAAGCTGCAAATGTGCGTCAAGTCCCCCCCTCCCCCCCTTCGTCCGCGCGCCCAATTCCGACCATGGACTAAACTATTGCAGCTCACCCACTTCGGCGCTGCGTCGCCCCCTATCGACAAGGAGGATGCTCGCAACCAGGCTCTCGCGAGGAGGGCGCAGGCCGGCGACTTTGACGAGGAGCTCATCCTGGAGCAGCTGGCCCGCAACAGGGTGTTCCTGAAGGACGAGGGTCTGCAAAAGCTGCGCAACTCGTTCGTCATCGTCGTCGGCTGCGGCGGCGTCGGCTCACACTGTACCGCCGCTCTTGCCCGCTCCGGCGTCTCCAAGCTGCGCCTCATCGATTTTGACCAGGTCACCCTCAGCTCGCTCAACCGGCACGCCGTGGCCACGCTCGCCGACGTCGGCATCGCCAAGGTCCAGTGTCTCTACCGCCGCCTCATCGCCATCGCCCCCTGGGTCAAGTACGAGCTCAAGAACCAAAAGTTCGAAGGCGCCGTCGCCGAGCAGCTCCTCGCCCCCTGGGGCGGGGACGGGCAGAAGCCCGACTACGTCGTCGATGCCATCGACAACATTGACACCAAGGTTGCCCTGCTCAAGTACTGCCACGACCATAACATGCCCGTCATTTCCAGCATGGGTGCCGGCGCCAAGGGCGACCCGACCCGTGTGAACGTGGGTGATATCGGGGCCAGCACAGACGACGGGCTATCGAGAGCCACCCGCAGGAAGCTGAAGCTGCAGGGCGTCACTGGCGGAATCCCCGTCGTCTACTCTACCGAGGTGGCCGGCGAGGGCAAGGCCGCCCTGCTGCCGCTGTCCGAGGAGGAGTTCAAGAAGGGCACCGTCGGCGATCTCAGCGTCCTGCCCACGTTCCGAGTGCGAATCCTTCCCGTCCTGGGCACCATGCCCGCCGTCTTTGGCTACGTCGCCGCGAACCACGTCATTCTCAGCATCTCCGGTAAGAAAAAAAAGAAAAAACCCCGTAATGGGCGTTGTGACTTTTTTTTCCTTTTCTTTTCACTCTTTTTTCCTGATCAGACTGACCAACAACGCGCCCCCAGGTTACCCCCTCGACTACGTCCCGGCGAAGAACCGCGACAAGCTGTACACGGACATCGTGGCGTTTGTGCAGGGCTCCGAGACGAGGATCGTCCACCACCGGTACGGCATCGAGGAGTCCAAGGGCCTCCGCATCCCCGTCTCGCTCGGCGACGCGGCGTTCCTGACGGAGGAGCTGTGGAAGGGGCGCAGCGCCGTGACGGGCCTCATCAACAGGCTCGTGCTCGTGCGGTGGAGGCGGCCCGAGGGCCCGACGAAGCTGCGGATCGGCGAGGGCGCCGAGGAGCAGAAGTGGTCCAACGTCCGGTTTCGCGACCTGGTCTGCATGACGCGCGACGAGGCCCTCCGCCACGAGAAGGAGTACCTCAAGAAGGACGATGCCAAGCTGGAGGACCTGTACGATGCCGAGGTGATTGCGCGGATCGAGGAGAGGCTGAAGGAGGCGGTCGAGGTGGAGAAGTATAGACTATAGACGATTGCAGATGAGTACATGGAAACAAAAGCTATCCGAGCTGATGGTTATCGTCCATTTGGACATACAAGACGGTCTTTGCAGGGAGTGTGGCTGGTGTGGCGGATGGTGGATGGTGGGTGTGGCGGTGCAGGTCGCTCGCTCGCTCTTCAGAGTGGGGAATGAATGGTACCTGAGTACCTGCTTTACCTACTACGTAGTAGGTACCTAGGTAGCTAGCGACCGTGGGTGCCCAAAGCTCCAGCGTCTGTCTGCGTCGCGTCTGGTCGCGCTTTCTTCCTCCATCACCTCACTGGGATTTTCTGCCAACCGACAAACGTCGAGTTTCCGCGACAACAAAGGTCGTTTCTGATCTGGCAATGTCCGCCTCGTCTGGTTCAGCTCACGGCATCCATGCGGAAGGGAGACTGTGGCTTTGTATTCCCAAACGCACTACCACGAGTCGTGGCTAGAGGTGAGCCGGCCGGAGTCGCTGGATGAGGACCATATTGCTGACGATATTGCAAGGCATATTGACAGGAATAGTCTTCGTACTCGGTCCTTTTATTCAGGGATCGTGCCGAGGGTGCCGAAGGTGCCAGCAATGCGCTATCCAGGAGTTTGCCATGCAGCAGCAATCCAACGCACCAGCTCCGCGGCCCTGTATCTCAAGTGAGATATATAGCGAAGGCATGGAAGGTCGTTTCGGATATCAAAGTCCCTCATCCCCCCCCGACCTCTGGAGACGCTTGCTCAATTTTCGCCTCTCTCCCTTCGTTTCCGTTCAGATTGGCTCCACCTTGGACGGACCATCTCTTTGATATCTTAACCCACCTCCAGCCTGCGGTGATGACAGCTTTTACATCAAGGTTACGGGATCATCAGTGCTGCGGTTCTGCAAAGAACCCTCCACGCGATGGCAGGACCAGCACCAAAGAACAGAGATCTGAGCAGGAGCCATGCTGGGGGGGTTCCCCGGCATGGGTGCAATCGTTGCGCCGGTGTGCGGCCGGCGCTCGTTTCTCGAGATCCCGTGCCGCAGTGACGACAGTTTTTTCATAGCCTAGAAGCTGAGCCCCGTCGAGTCCACGGCCCTCCTCGCGGAGGGTGTACGGTTCGGCCCTGGAGCATCGCTCATGACAGGACGTATATAGTTTTCAATCGGAGCTGGCCGGTAAGTCGAGACCCTCCATGTGCTCTCGGTAGGGAAGTGGCTGACGTGGGCGTCGCAGATCTCAGGAACTGCCGGCCAAGCGGCAGTGCAGCGATACGATACAGAATTGCCCGGTGATGACACGAAGTCCAAATAAGCCAAAGTTGCAGACAGCACGAGGGTCGATCCAGTCACTTTGGCGGAGTCCCATCGGTCGTTGTCCGTGAGAACATAAGAGAGCTAATCTGAGGGCAATTCTGCGAGTCGAGGTGAGAAGAGGAGGGGATGTCTGGCAGTGACAAGCCAAGTGGCTTGGTTCTGGGGGAAAGGGGCGTCGAGCCGTGACGAGGTAGGTAGCTGTATGCAGAAAATACTGGTTCAACATATTGACGTGGTTGTTGCAAGGCGCTGAAAATAAGTCAAACAACCTGGTCTATAAACGTAGAGCGTGGTTGGTGAAGGCGTCACGGGATGAGGCGAAGCCCTCGGAGGCTCCTTAGTGCAGGGAACGGGTTAGCATCCCCCAGCTGTCTGCAGCATGCAGCCTGCGGGATTACCCGCCGCAAACGGTGACTCGATGACTTTTGCACAGCGAATCACGGCGCGTCTCCCGGGACATGGATGAGCTCATCTTTGAGCTAAGCTCTGTCCCCCTCGCATCTGATTCCATCCACATCCCGCCTAGTTTTCCAGCCCTGTTCTCCCAGACAGCGCGCGGGTCGAGCTGACATGATGAAAACATTTAGGGTTCCGATCACCAAGAATGGTTTCTTCTTCCATTCTTTCCTCCGACATGGTGCATTGCATGACATCTGAACCGTTCCAGGTGCTGACCCGAACTGAGCCGACCATCACCGCCAACACCGATTCTATCACGATTCGTCACCTTGGTACACCCATTCACTCGCCCACGAGAGACAGGACAAGCCGACTATCGAAGCTTTGCCCGCCATGGACCCGACCATCGCCGCCTTGCTCGAGAAGAGCGGCGCCGATGGAGTCCCCTTCCGCGCTCGCTCCGGCCACGCCCATCACACGTGGGCTGGCACCTTCCACTCGCGTCCGGAGCTCTACATCCAACCCGAGTCGCTCGAAGAGGTCGAGAAGGCCGTCAACCTCGCCCGCCAGCACCGCCGCCGCCTCGTCACCGTCGGCTGCGGCCACTCGCCCTCCCACATCACGTGCACCTCGAGCTGGCAGCTCAACCTCGACCGCTACAACCGGCTCCTCTCCGTCGACCCCGCCACCGGGCTGGCCGTCATGCAGAGCGGCATCCGGCTCTACGACCTGTGCGACGAGCTCGACCGCCTCGGCCTGGCCATGCCCAACCTCGGCAGCATCAACCAGCAGTCCATCGCCGGCGCCATCTCCACCGGCACCCACGGCAGCAGCCTCCGCCACGGCCTCATGTCCGAGGACGTGGTCGCCCTCAAGATCACCCTGGCCAGCGGCAGGACCGAGTCGTGCTCGCGCGACGAGAAGCTCCCGCTCTTCCGCGCCGCGCTGCTCTCCCTCGGCGCCCTCGGCGTCATCACCGAGGCCACCTTCCGCGCCGTGCCGGCTTTCGCCCTGCGCTGGACCCAGACCATCGACGCCGACCGGCGGATGCTCGACGCCTGGGCCGCCGGCGACCTGTGGACCCAGAGCGAGTTCGTCCGCGTCTGGTGGTTCCCCTACACCCGCCGGGCCGTCGTCTGGAAGGCCGACAAGACGGACGAGCCGCACGCGGCGCCTCCCCGGCGCAACTACGACGGCGCGCTGGGCTACCACCTCTACCAAAACCTGCTGTTCCTCGCGCAGCACGTGCCGCGCGTGCTCCCCTGGGTCGAGTGGCTCGTCTTCGGCATGCAGTACGGCTTCCGCGACGGCGCGGCCGTCTCCGCCGTCCAGCCGAGCCGCGAGGCCCTGCTGATGAACTGCCTGTACAGCCAGTACGTCAACGAGTGGGCCGTCCCGCTGCACAGGGGCCCGGAGGCCCTCGCGCGGCTGTCGTCGTGGCTGAACCGCCTCGCGCCCGGCGACCCGGGCTACGCGCCGCACGGCATCCCGTTCTCGGCCGACGGGCTCTACGTGCACGCGCCGGTCGAGGTGCGCGTGAGCGACACCTCGCGGGCGTCGTCGTCATCGTCGTCGTCGTCGTCGTCGTCGTCGTTGCCGTCCGCCGGCGCGCGGCCGTACCTCGACCCCACGCGCCCGTACCTCGACCCCACGCGCCCGTACCTCGACCCCACGCGCCCCGACGGCCCGACGCTGTACCTCAACGCGACGCTGTACCGGCCGTACGGCGCGGACCCGCCGTGCCGGGCGCGCTACTACGAGGGCTTTGAGTGGCTGATGCGCGACCTCGGCGGGCGGCCGCACTGGGCCAAGAACTTCGGGTCGGGGGCCGAGGAGGTCGCGGCGTCGTACGACGGCGCGGACGTGCGGGCGTGGCGGGCGGTGCGGGACGGCGCGGACCCGGAGGGCATGTTCGTGGGGCCGTGGCATCGCGAGAAGGTGCTCGGCGCGGGGCCGAGGCTCGCGCTCGAGGAGGTCGAGGTCGCGAGGGCCCCGGCGAGGTTTTGGGGCGGGCTGACGGTCGACGGCGTCGTGGGAGAGGCTCGGCGATGACGATGTCGAGTAACAAGCGGTCCCCCTTGCCCCCCTCCTCCCTTTCTGGAAGTCTAGGATGGAGCGCGACTGTCTACAGCGCAACCCGTTCGACGGTCCATGTCTGCTGGGTTGAAGAAAAAGAAAACATGGCCCCCGATCTCGATGCGTCGGCCAACTGCGACAGGGCCGTGAACGTTTTTATTATCCGACATACAGAGATGCGATACTCGATCCCCAGCCAGGCGTTTGGAGGACAGCAGCTGACTTGAGACCTGCCTGGTTCGCAGGGAGCGAAACCAAAGTCAGACAGGATGTCTGTAAGGGTTTAGCATTGTGCTATTACTTAGGGTTGGCATATCTAGGTAGCAGATAGAGCTCGTTGAAGCCGGACCGAGACTGGCCGGTGTCAAAAGCACCCGGACCAAGACTCGGAAAGAACTGTCTGCAAACGTGAAGTTCATCATCACAAAAGCTTAGGAGAAGAGACTCCGAGATGAGGTGGATGGATAGACACAGGATACGTGGATCACTCGCGCCACATTAGATGAGCGTTCGCATAGTAAGCTCTGGAGAAACGAAATGTATGCCCCCCCCGAGGGTGTATAAGCCAGAGGAACCCACACTTCGGCCACCTCGTAGACAGCGTCCGGGGCCCGGCTCGCATCTCGCCAGCCGGGTGTGCTCGCGTTCGGCAGCCCGAAAGATGTCCACGGAACGTAGGGAGGGGCATCGGGTGACTTCTGTTTGGCCACCCCTCCTCCAGTTTTGTAGCCCGTCGTCCGCACAAGCTCATGTCGGATCAGAGGGCGAGGAGGCGCGACGATCGATCGAGCCTTTTCTGCAGGTCGTCGGTTCCAACACCGCCGTCGCCCAACGGCTGCCCGAGTGGTTCGCGGTTGCGATCGGGGTGCCTCGTTCCCCTCATCCCCCGCCCTCCCCCTCTCTCACGACACGGTCTCGAGAAGGAAAGCGGAGAGAACACGACGGCTCGGTTTTGGTATACGCGTTTCTTTTTCTCATACAGACTAGCATGATGGTAAAAATGGTAATAAAACTTGACTTTTTTGTTCAGTCGACGTAGGCTTCCCCCGCTACTCCCAGTTGACCCGAGGCCGCTCGAGAGGGTAATAAAAAAAATGAAAAATAAAAACAAGAAACAGTAAAGGAGAAACGTGAGCTCGTAATGGCAGGGAGACATGAAAAAAACCTCCCCCCGTTTTACCGATAGGATCATATCAAAGACCATGTACAGTGTTGCCGCGAGGCTTGGAGGTGTGTTTTTTTTTTGTTTCCACGTTAAGATACGATAGAATAAAAATAAAAAATTAAAAAATAAAAGAAGAGAGAGAGGGGTATCTTTCGGCTGCAAGAGAAGTGCGTGTGGTGTCGGTCCTCCTCCTGATAGGGACCGGCGTTTTTGTTGTCTTTTTTCTTCTTTTTTTTCTCTTTCTTTCCGTGTCATGAAGGGTGGAAGACGAGAAATAAGAAATAAAACCAAGATAAAAACGCAGATGGGGTGTGCAAGAAACCAACGCCTTGAAGAAAAGAGAGAGAGAGAGAGAGAGAAAACAACAACAGACCAACGAGCCGTGAGGCGTTTCCATCTTGTGTCCCAAGCCGCGAGGCCCCCCAATCCGTCTTATGACCGCCGTGATGCCCACATACACGCCCACGCCCGTTCCGCGCCGACTTGATACGATACACGGACAGCCTCCGTCATCGCCGTGGCTCTCTCCGCCGCCTGCGCCGCGCCTTCTGCGGTTCTGTGTGTTCCCGCTTGAGGGGGGGGGGGCCGTCTTCGTATCTCGCTCCGAGCTTTTTGGTGTACCTTTTTTTCTTTTTTCCTCCTTGAGGGGGAGGGACGGTCGTGTGACTGAACACCGTTTCCCCTCCCCCCCCCCATCCAGGCATCCTGGTGCGGTGTAGGATAGAAGTCTCGTCTACCCGCTTCGTCGACGTTGCCCTTTGGCGTGTGCACCTGCACGAAAATAGCAAACGTATATATATATATATGGTCCTGGTGGATTCCCCTCTATCGAAAAAGCGGCCAGGGAGCTGTTTTTTTTCGATTCCGAAACACCGAGAGAGAGAGAGAGACAAAAAGTAAAGAAAGAAAAGAAAGGGAAAAAAAGAAAAGAAAAAAGACACATCAGTGTCGGTGCCGGCGGGAGCTCTCGTGGCCGTGGCGGTGACCGTGGGAGTGGCCGTGGCGGTGAGACGAGTGGTGGCCCTCCCTGTGTCGCGAGGAGGAGGAGGAGGACGAGGCGGCGGCGCTGCGGGCGAGCTCGCGCTCCATGTCCTCGACGCGCGAGCGGTAGCCGCGGACGATGTCCTTGATGTGGCGGATGCGGTCGAAGTCGAGCTCGAGCTCGTCGAGCTGGCGGAGGAGGTCGTGGTAGCGGGCGATCTCGGCGTCGGCGCCGTCGACGAGGTTGCCGGCGCGGTCGAACTGGGCCAGGGTGAACATCTGGCTCTGCTCGCTGAGGTAGACGATCTGCTGCTCGATCTGGCCCATGACGCGGTCAAAGTAGCGGCCCAGGGCGGCCAGCGACGTGCTGTCGAGGAGCAGCAGGCCTTGCTGGCTCGAGGCGCGGCTGGCGGCGCGCGACGAGCTGGACCCGCCGCCGGCCCCCTGGCCCAGGGCCGCCTGCCCCTGGCGCAGCAGCTGTATCTCCTCGTAGCTCAGGCCAAGCTGCGTGTCCGGCACTGCATTGACCTGGGTGGTCGACATGGCTCGGTGCAGCGCACCGTGCGCGGTTGGGAGGCGGCAGGACTAGCAGTATTGTGGGTTGATGTGTGTGTGTGTGTGTGTGTGTGTGTGTGTGTATGTATGTGTGGTGTGTGGTGTGTGGTGTGTGGTGTGTATTATCTGCTTGTTCGTAGGTGTCTGCGTGTTCCGTTATCTGAACAATGCGCGGTCGGTATCGTCTCGACTCGGGCCGCGATAACGGGGTGCGGCGACGGAGGTTTCGGAGGGGTCTCGTCCCCTGTCGGAGGTGTGGGGGGTGGGGAGAGAGCTCGATGGAGAGAGAGGGAGGGAGAGAAGATGAGGGGTTTCGACGGCGGTGATCCGGAGGGGGGGGAGGGGAGAGAGAGAGGGACAGATAGAGAGAGACGGAGGGAGAGGTGTGCAGCGGCGGACGGACGAGGGGGCGGCGGGATGCGACGAATGGCATGCGCCGTTGTTCGTTGTTGGAGTTCGGGAGCTGGGGAACACTGGAGCGGCCTTTGTTTGGGCGATGGCGGCGCGCGCAAAGTCATGATATCGTAGAGGCGGCGGGGATCATTACTGGTAGGTTTTCCGGGGGGTTTTGGGCGTGCGGGCTCGGCGCGAGCGAATTGGGTTCTCGGGACAGCTTTGCCGACGGCCGACGGGGGGGGAGACACAGACAGAGAGAGAGAGAGAGAGAGAGAGAGAGAGAGAGAGAGCGAGAGGGGGCCGCGAGTCTCGACGTTGCAACGGGCCGCCCGGAGTGACGGGCAACGGGGTTACAGGTTGCGTGTAGGTCCACGTCGGGGCAGAGGCCGTGACATGAGGCCGTGATGTTGGACGGGGGTTGGTCCGGAAGGAATGTCGTCCAAGGAGGGTGGGCGAGAGAGGTCGCGCGAAGACGAGAACGAGGAAGAGAGAGAGGGGGAGACGGAGAGAGGGAGAGAGGGAGAAAGGGAGAGGGAGACAAAAGGGGGGAAGAAAGAAAGAAAGCCGGTCTCGATGTTGGAGAAGAGGAAAAGAGGGAGAGAAGGACGAGCGGTGTTTGAAGTTTGGGGGGGGGATATTTTTTCTTCCTCTTTTCTTTTCTGGTGATACACACACATACACACACATACACACATACACAACACAAGCCGGATGAGCTCGCACCCTCCCACCACCCACCGCCGCGATGAAAAGGGCCCCCGGTTGACTACGAGTTGGTTTGCTTGCCCGGCGCACAGGTCTCGGTTCCTGGTCACCCAGACTCAGACCCCAAGGGCGCCCCCCCAGGCCTCGGCCGCTTTGACTTGTTGGGAGGGGGGACAGGGAGCGGAGTAGAGCAAAAAGCTCTCTGATGACGGCACACGGCTGTGTCTCTCTTTTCTTCGTGCGGATAAACGAGGGGGTCGAGATTGATATGTCCGTCCGGGCCGTGGGAGGGAGAGGGAAGAAGTAAAAAAAGACGGGAAAAGGGGAAAAGGGAGGAGAGAGGAGGGACGGGAGTTTGCTTTTCTTTTCTTTTCTTTTTTTCTTCTGTTTTTTTATTTATTTCTTTTCTTCCCCCCTCCCCTGCACGCAGCTGACGGTCAATCTCTCCCCACGCTTCTGGGACGCAACCGCTAGTGACAGCGACGGAGCAGATGATAGGTAGCATCGACGGGGGAAGAAGGGAAAAAGGCAATCTCGGCGCGCAATGCCTGCGAGGCTGGGGAGGAGGAATGGGGGAGAAAGAGGGAAGAGATTGACCGGTGACGGATGGCCCTGGTAGCGAGCGGCCGTGTTGGTTCTTGTGCCAGAAACACACACACACACACACACACACACACACACACCCAAGAGGCACGCACAGCCGCGTATCGCAGCCGAGACGAGAGCCAAAGTTGAGGAGGTGGTGAAGGGGTGGGTGGACGAATGGATGGACGGACGGATGGATGGACAGGGACGGCATGTGGTGTGTGTGTGTGTGTGTGTGTGTAGTGTGCGTGTGTATGTACCGTATGTATGTGTGTGATGTGTGTGATGTGTGTGTGGCATCCTTCGGTCAGTGTCGTTCGTTCAAGACAAGCGCCGGGTTCCCGCCGTGGTGGTATTGCGAGATTATTGGCCTTCCTATTTAGACCGAGGCCTGATGTGCTCGTGATGATGGGATCCGGCAGGGTGTGATTGGGGAGGGGGGATCGGTATCTCGAGATGCTCGCCTGCTCGCTGCTCGGTGAACGCCATCGCCGTGAATGGTTCCCAAGAATTGAGGGGTCGACAGACAGACCGACAGACAGACAGATAGACAGACTGACTGACAGGTGATTGACTGTTGGCTGCCGTCCAGAGAGACGAGGAGACGAGACGGGTGGCCGATGCCGAGCCACGGCTCCAAGTGAGACAAGGCCGAGGAAGACGGACAGACAGAGCCGACGATGCGCTCACATCCTCTTTTGCACCTGGAGATGGATGGACGGATGCAGATAGCAACGCTACTATGTACTTTTATTTCTCCCCAGCGACTCCTCAGATCCAGAGCACCTCCATCTACCCACCAACCAATGTACACCGGAGTGCTTTTCATCTATTCTCTCGGCACCCGAGGTATATAGAACCCTCCCATCTATATCTATCTACATACATATCCGCCAGCTCGGTGTGTGCGTGTGTGTGTGTGTGACGACACCCTCTCGGCTCAGTCCCCATGGCCGTCGACTCCTGCCATGCGACATTTCACCCTCCCTATCGTTTCTTCCCGTCTTTTCTTCCTTGCCCCGTCACGTCACGTTGCCTCCTCTTTCCCCCCCCACCGCATATGAAGAACATGGACATCGACGGGCCTCCGGACTGCCTGCGACTCGGCCGTCAGTCGTCTCCCGTGGGGGTGCCCAGGCCGTCAGTGCCCTTCCCTAGAGGTCCGTCGTGGCCGCAGGAATCATGTCCCAGCCGGGGGGAGGGGGGGGACGCGACGCGGCTTTGCCAAGGTTAGACGACGCCGCGACCGACCTTATTCGCGCGCACGGCACTACCTGTACGTGTTGACGGTCTCTGGGCGACGCCCTTGTTTCCGTCCTTCCCCGTGTTCGTACATCTCTGTGTGTTTTAAGGTGCTGCCGTCGTACTTGTCCTCCTCCTACTCCTCCTCCTCTCCCTCCCTCCGGCGAGACGGGATAGGCCGGGGATCGATGGGCGCGAATTGAAACACGCAACATCATACGACCAGAAGGGAGGGCTCACAACAAGACGGTCCTCACCCCCCACCCTCTCCTTTCGACCGCGAGCATCTACCAGCCTGCTGGGCGCTGCACACATCATGCAGACGCAGAGGGGCCAAGCCGCCCGCTTAGGTACTGTAACGAGATGCACGGCGCTTGCTCGCCCCCCCCTTGTCCCTTGTCCAGCGCTTGGAGAACTTCAGCCTCAACTGCCACCCGTTGCAGAGCAAAGCTTCGATGGGGGGGCATGCCCATGCAGATTGTCATTCTCACCGCCCGTCTTGTCTTCCATTCTTTCCTTTCTTCGGTTAGACGGCCGCCGCACGTCAGCCATCCTGTGTTTCAAGACGCCGTCCTCGTAGGGCGCGCGTGCATCCGGTTGCCGCCCATGCCCTTGTGGACTTGGTGTGGCGCTATGTGCTTTAGGGTCTGGCGGTAGCGCTCAGCGATCATCTGCGCCTCCCGGGCCGGCGGAACCAGCCAGATCGTCATGAGGAACTCGATACCGCCGCTCTGCCCAGTCCTCCGACATCCCTTTCTCCAAGTCTCGTCCGGCCGGCCCGGAGTGAACGGCGGGCAAGCCTGCCGGTGACCCCACATCTCCCGCCCTGCCGACCACCCGACCCACTCCCGATACGGCTCACGGAGCCTCTTCTTCCGTCGGCCACAACAGACAACGGCTCTTCAAGATGACGAGACGAGAAGCCATGTCACCCTGGTCTCGAACCGGCCACACAGCCTATCTAGTGGGCATCTGAAAATCGTTTCTTCTTGTTCATGTCCTGGACACCCCGGCGGAAGTCAACGGCCAGAGTAAAACGGCGCCCCCTACGTCAAAACGTACGAGATGGCGGCTGACATATCATCGGAATGGCCTCCTTTTCTACAGGAAAATTGGCGGATTTCACAGAAGCACAACCCCCGCATCTGAAGACAATCGGCTCGCGTGAGGCCAAGAGGGGCACCTCAAGACCCGGGTAGCCGGGACGCTCTTCCCGCCCCGCCTCCTCCTCTTCGATCTATCCGATCGGGGGTTTGGGTTTCCCTCGTCGTTTCGGTCCATCTCCGACCGTGAAGAACCTAAGCGCTCTTGTTATCATGAGGAGTCGACGCCATTGCGATCCGGGGCACAGCAAGCGCATCTTGCGTTCCCATAAGAAGCCCCCCTCGACCCCTACCGCCCATGTCACCACTAAAACCCCCCCCCCCGAGCTGGTCCGTCAGGCCATTGACGTTGATATTGTGCGTCTGTGCCGCGCAGACGAACGCCCGCCGCCGCCATCATCATCATCATCATCATCATCATCACCACCATCATCATCACCATGATGCTCCCTTCCCTAGCGACTGTGCTCGCTTGCGTCGCCGCCGCGACGGCCACGATCCTCGAGAACGGCCGCCCGAGAGCGACCGACTTCGCCGACACAAAGGTGGACCTGGCGGCAGGCGACTACGAGACGTACGACGCCGACGCCCCGGAGATCTCCTACAAGGGACGTTGGGACTCCAAGAAGATATCCTGGTGGGCGTGAGTTCTCTCCTTCGAGCCTTTGGGACACCCCAAAAAAAAGAAGAAAAAAAAACCCCCCCAGAAAAACGAAATACGTCTCTCACACACAAACGTCGTCGGCCAGGGCCCCGGGCATCAAGTTCGGCTTCACCGGGCAGACGGTCGCCGTGACGTTCGGCCCGCACACCGTCAGCGGCACGCTGGTGGCCTACCGGATCGCCGGCCTGGACTGGGCGCACACCAACGTCACGGCCGGCGCGACCCACCTGTTCGTGAGCCCGGCGACGCCCGGCGCCGGCCTCGCCGGGCCCGTCAGCCCCGCGACCTTTGAGATGCGCGTGACGAGCTGGGCGCGCGGCGTGCAGGTCGACGCCGTCCACGTCGCCGCCGGCCGGCGCCTCGTCGCCGTCCCCGACCACCCGCGCCGCGTCGAGTTCGTCGGCGACAGCCTGTCGGCCGGCATGTACGCGACGTACGAGGCGCTGGCCGGGTTCGCCTACGGCGTCGGCGCCGGCCTGGGCGACACCGAGTACTCCATCACGGCGTACCCGGGCATCTGCGTCGCCGACCAGGAGTGCTGGGGCAACCCGCGCGGCCAGTCGCACCAGTGGTTCTACACGTCCGACACGGGCGGCCGCGCCGCCGAGGTGTGGGGAGGTACGTGTCGTCGTCGCGCGTACGCGCCGCCGGAGCTGCAGCAGCAGCAGCCGGCGGGCTTGGCGTATTCGAACCGGAGCCTGGCCCCCGACGAACGGGGGCCGGCGATGGTATCATCATCAACATCATCGTCATCGTCGGGAACCGGCCGGCTGACGGCGGCTTGCGCAGATGACCCCGAGCCCTGGGACTTTTCCAGGAACCCTCCCGCCGACCTCGTCGTCATCAACCTCGGCACCAACGACGCCAACGCGGCCAACGGCGTCAGCAAGGCCGCCTACGTCCAACACTACAAGAAGCTCGTCCAGGGCATCCACGGCAAGTGGCCCGAGGCCCAGGTCATAATCATGGTACGAGCATGTCTCCTCCTCCTGCTCCTCCTCCTCCTCCTCCTCCGCCTCCACGGCCATTGACTGACCGACTGACTGACCTCCTCCGGCCGCAGCAAATGTGGCAGGGCTTCTTCCGGGACGGCAACACGTACGGCCAGAACACCGACCTCAGGGACGAAGTCTACAGCGTCTACGAGTACTTCAACTCGGACGAGTACCTCGGCAGCCCGACGACGTGGGACGCCGTCACCGACACGACCGGCAGGGCGAGCGGGCCAGCCAAGCCGTTCGTCCACTTCTTCAACACCACCGGCATCCTGCAGCACAACGACATCGGGGGCCAGTGGCACCCCACCGACGTCGGCCACATCAAGGTTGCGAGCCACCTGATACAGTACATCACGCTGAAGCTCGGCTGGCCCTTGTTCGCCACCGGACCCGAGTGAGTTTTGCCCGCCTCGCCTGACCTGCCTTTTTTTTATTTTATTTTATTCTTTTCTTTCTTTCATTCCGTGTCCAATGGGCTCTTCTTCTCTTCGTCGGCCCGCGATTCCTGCAAAGACATGCCTGCCTCGAGTCGAGGAAAGGCATAATCCCCAGACGACCACGGGCTTTTTTCTCTTTTTCTTTTTTGCCTGTGTTATGTGTGCCATGTAGGCTGACACCCCCTCTCCCCCACCTCCAATCACAGGGTTTACCATGAGACTCTCTACTGGAACGACCAGTCTGCCTATTGAGACGCCGTTCAGGGAAAGCGGCTGTACAAGTGAGGAACCTGGGGGGGACATGCATGACTTTTGGGTAAACCCTCCTCCCTCTGTCTCTCTCGCTGCCCACCCTCTTCGCCCCCCGCCCTCCTGCGGCATTGGTTCCCGACGGCACGCCGCGTCAAGAGGGAGAAACGCCGTCTTGTCATTATAGCCGTCATAGCCTATATACCGCACCCCGTGATATATAAGCATGCTGCCGTCCGAGTTGAAACGCCCGCCACCGCAGCCTGGCAGCGCCTTTGAAACAGGCCGGTGCGCCTGCCAGGCAATGACAACCGTGATTTGACACGTAGGGAATGCCAAGCTTTTGAGCCTCGACCGATCTTGTCCGTGCCAGCAGGGAGGGGGGCCTTTTCCCCCGGCTATTTCCTCACACACACACACACACACACTCTCTCTCTCTCTCTGTGTGTGTGTGTGTCTCTCTCTCTCTCTCTCTCTCTCTCTCTCTCTCTCTCTCTCCCTCTCGCTGCTTGGTCATCCGGGGAGAGTGGTGCATTCTTCACCTTCGAACGGGCAACCCAGTCTCCGGTACCTAATTCTCCAACCCCCCCGTCAATCTCTCTCTCAACTGGAGTTCCACAAGAGAGGCTTAAACTAAAGTACTGATCCAAGGCGGTCCCCCGTAGGGTCGCACAGGTACGCCACATTGACCATGCCAAGGGAGGTTAATAATCGCCCTGGTGCGTTTGCCGTTTGAGATGCCCCATGGGTCAAGGAGCCAGACAAGACAAGACATCCTCACATCGATCAAGAAGAAAGGGAAAGGGAAAAAAACCCCCGAGGGATGGAAAGGGTTCAGTCCGAAAGAGACATCATGCCCACCTTTGCGATTACTAACCCTCTCTCTCTCTCTCTCTCTCTCTCTCTCTCGTGTGCCCATGATAAGAGGGCGCAAGGAGAAGAAACACACGGCCGCGTCCCATACGTCCGTGGCTTGGCCACCGTCTGTCTATTCCGCCTAAACTCGCTCGTGACAGATCGGCGCGCTGCGCATGAAGGGCTCGGCCGTCAGATCGTGACAGGGCCCGGGCCAGAATCCGAGACTCGAGACTTGAGACTTGAAGGAATAGGCGACTTTTTCTTTCTTTTTCTTTTTTTCTTCGCCTGCTCAAAAGAAAAAAAGAAAAAAAAAAGAAGAAAAAAAGAAAAATCAGCCGGCCGAGGAAAGATGGGATGCCACGCCCACCCGCTCCCCCTTTCCCTTCTGACGGTAGAGTTTGGATCTGTCTGGAATGACACGGAGAAAGGGGCCGGCCTTACGGACGAAGCTTGCAAGGCTCCGATGGCAGGTCGTGACGGACGACAGGACGGGCTGGTTGGAACTCGGCGTTTGAGGGGATACCAACTACATAGTAGCACATAGCAAAGGGATAGATGCCAAGGGAGTTGAGAACTGAGGACCGCGTCACGAGTCGAACCGCATGGTGTTGTTCTTCCTGTTCCACGTCCGTCTTATTCGCCTTCATCTTTTTTCTTCATCTTTTTTCCCCCTCCCCTCCCTCTCTCTCAGATCTCGTGCTGCGATTAGACATCATCTTTCTCGCTGTTTGTTTCCCTTTGTCGCCTTATTCTTTTGCCTGCTCTCTCTGCTTTTCCCCTGCCTTTGCCTGGCCTGACCCGGCCAACACCCCCCCCCCCCCCCCCCCCCCTTGCGACCTTTGCCGACTCGCATAACATGCCGGGCTCCTGCGTGTGTGAGAGGCATATGGCTATCCGGTTTAGGGTTCGGGGATTTGCAGACTCTATCGACGATCTTTTTTATTTTGTTTTTAAATTTGAATTTTTATTTTATTTTTTCATCCTTCTTCTTTTCCCAAGTAGCAGGGAGGGGTGGAGGGGAGGGGAGGGGAGGGAGGCAATTCTCGAAACGCGTTGCTAAACTGCAAATTCCCGGTCCTCAGGGTCTCTGCCTCTCCATGTCTCTCCGTCTTCTCGCCTCCCGTTAATCTCCCATCCCACGGAAGACTCGTTTCCGTGGTCCCCCCTACGTCTCCGGAACTCAGGCACGTCAGGCGGCTGAGCGGAGCCTGTCCATCAGGGCTGTCAAACGACACTCCCCCCTTTCCTCTTTCTCTCCCTCTCTCTCTCTCTCTCTCTCTCTCTCTCTCTCTCTCTCTCTCTCTCTCTCTCACAGCATCTCTCTCTCCATATCATCCTTGTGCAGAGGGGGCAACGCATTGGGATTCCCTAGCTTTGCGTCGGGGAAAAAACACCAAGGGGAGCCAAGTTGGGACGATGAAGGGCCAAGCCGCACCATGAGACGGACAGGCGCACCCGTTGCGTTACACTCGAGTCGTGGGGACCCAGACGGTGGCGCAAAAAAACCCATGACGCCTTTCTCTATGGGCCCTTGGGACTGTCAGGAAAGGGAAGTCAAAACCGCGTCCCAAGCCGGCGTCCCAAGTCCCCCCACCAGCGAAGACGGCGGCTTCTTCCGCCCACCGTTCACGTCGTCTGGTGATCGGCCATGTCATACCTTTCATCCGTCGACGGCAGGGGAGGGGGAGGAGGGGGATGATTAAGTAACCTCCGTCGTAGACTGTCCGTCGGTCGACCGTTCCTCCGTATCTCTCCTCCCCCCCCTTCCCCCTCCCCCCACAGACACGCCCTTCCCCCCGGCTGCTGCGTTAGCGTGTGACGATCCGCGAGCTGGAAGAAGGGCTCACGCTCAAAGTTTCGTCGATCGTCTTTGTTCCATGGGAAGGGGAGGGGGGCGAGTGGAGCAGAGGGGATTCTCGAGTCAATCACCCATGACTCTCTCTCTCTCTCTCTCTCTCTCTCTCTGCTAGTTTATTTTTATTTTTATTTTGGGTCCATCGTCTTGTTCAATCTCCCTTTTTGCCGGCGGATGAAGTGAGGCAAAAGCTGAGGCGGACGTAAAAAGCATAGAAGGAAAAGAAGAAGAAGAAGAAGAAGATAAGAGACGGGTGTTGTATGCAGAAACAAACCAAAGAAAAAAAAGGCTAAAGTCGGAGTCGGGGCGGTTGACAAAGCTGTTAGTCAACACAGATTTGCGGCGGCGTCTACCCGGGAGCTCCCAGTCTTGACGGATGGCAAAACAAAGGTTACTCGCGATCCCGCTTGTCAGGATTCGAGATTCGAAAGGGAAAATACAATGTAAAAAAGACAACGGCGGCGACGGCGACGGTGCCGCAACCCAATCCCAATCACCTGAAACGGGAGGGTTGTCACAGACGTGGACAAGAAGGAGGGGAGTAGGAGTTGGAGTTGGACGCCCCCCCCCCTCCCTCCCCCATTACCTACACACGCATACGGAGGCGATGTCGACGGGTATCACGGTATCATCGCCCCTCGTGGAGTTCTTCTCTGGCCTCTTCGGGACGGTCGCAAATAGAAGAACCATGTGTGTGTGTGTGTGTGTGCTCCCGAAGCTGGAGAACTAGGTCACCGGCGAGGCGAGGGAGAGGTGGCCCATCGTTGACGGAGTGTAACCGCAACCCAGCCCATCCACCGGTCGAAAACGCTGGCCATCCTCCTCTCTCCATCCCACGGCCTTGTCCATCCGTGTGGAGCAGGTCCCTCCATTCCCCCGTAGGAAACGGTTAAATAGGCCATGGCAGAAAGGTGGGAAGAATAAGAAGGCCATGGGCAGGCCAAGACGGCCCCCCGGACGGGGCGATGTAGAATACATCGGGCAACGAGGTCGCCGGCGACGGATGACGATCACCGGGGTGTCCCCTCCCCCCGGGGCTGGAAGGGACGGGTTGCAGGCGGTTGCAGCAGACACGGTCTTATTGACCTCATTATTACTATTTTCTTCTTCTTCTATTGAATGTTTACTGTCTCATTTCCCCGCGTGCTTGAGACTAAGCGATCTTGGTAGCTTCGTCGTCGCAGGTGTTGTGGGGGGGGGAGCGAGAACCCGATGGCGAGCAAAATGAAGAGGATCGTTCGGCAGTTGGTTAGCCTCGACAGCAAGCAAGTAGCGAGATGCGTGATAACAGGGGGGGAGGTCTCGACTCGACGTCCCTTTTCCGGAATCGACGGGCGCCAGTGCCGCCGCGCAGACAAGTTGGTTGATGACGGTGATCAGAGGTGTGGTGGCGGCCTGGGACGGGATCGCCCAGGGCGGAAAGAGAAGAAAGAAACGGGAAATGGGAGAGTTGAGGAAGATGGGACGTTCTGGTTTGAGTGGCAGGCAGGGGTTTGGGAGAATCGCCTCGGTTGGGATGTTGTTGTTGTCGTCGTCGTCGTCGTCGTCGTGCATGGCGTAGTATCGCCCCAAAACGTCGTTGAGTGCCGACACTGCAAGAGACGATCGTCCGAGCGGCGGCGAGAGTCTGATGCTCTGCTCCTCCTCCTCCTCCTCCTCCCCAGCATGCATCGCCAACATCGTGGGCGGAGTCACGACTGCGGCCAGACTTCCCCCAGGCCATGTCTCTCTCCCGCTTGGCGAGGCTCAAACACAGCCGTCTCCGATGGCATCACAGACCGCCAAGAGCAGAGCCTCGGGTTTCCTCTCAGCCTACCCATCTGGCCGTTTCAGCTAGCCGACTAGGGGATGGGGAGAGGCGTGGGAGTGCCGGCCAGTTTAGCCTGGAGAGGGCCCATACGCGAGCTCAGAGTGGCTGTTCCGTCTGAACCGCTTTGATGTAGGCGCGATTCAACAGACGGGAGGAGGCCCAACGGCCCAGCCTTCTTTTTTTTTCTCCTCTCTCTCTCTCTCTCCCTCCCCTTCCATGCTTCGTTCCGCAACATGAAAGGATGGCAGGGCGGGCCACACCTCGATACGAGGGCGTGAAGAGTTCCTCGATCGGATGAGAATCTTGAAACATAGCGTGTGCTGGCTTTCCCTTCCCTTCTCCTCCCCGCACGCCGAGGGAGTGAGGGGGAGTGAGGGAGAGAGAGAGAGGTGCGAATAGGTGTGCGTGGCGTGGTGGTATGGTGATGGTAAGTGGCGGTGGTGTTGGTGGTGTTGTTGAATAGACAGACGGTGTTCAACGAGCCAATGGGTCGTCGGGAACCACGAACCATGATGCTGCAGAACGGTAAAACATCTCCAAGGAGGGATTTCCCATACCCCCCTCCCCCCCATACCCTCGCCGATTCCCATCAGTGAGGAACGCGCCAACGTGGTGTGGTGGTCGACGGACTCCCCGCCGTCGTGACGGGTTCAAACTCAATATCGTTCCCACCACCGCTCCGCTGGGACTCCCCAGGGAACCGCGGTGTGTGATGTACAGAGTCGTGGGTAAATAGCGTTTACTGGGCAGCAAATCCGGAGACGGGGGCGAGGGTGGTTGGTTGACACACGCGCGAGTCTCAATCGAGGGCGAGACAGGGCAGATCCCATCCCGTCCCCGCCAACAGGGGCGCACACTCGAATCGTCTGAGGTTCTGCAGGCCGTGGATGCCGGTCCTAGTCGGCGCCATCCATTGCCGACAGGCCTTGGCCCTCTTCAGTCGGCGAATGCAGGCAGGGTCCAGGGCCCGGTTGCCAGAGAGAGGGCTCGCGATCAACGTGACCGCCCGCCGGCCCTCCCCCTGCCCTCTCTCCGATGTCTCCAAGGGGTCCCTGTCCTGCTCGATATTGGGACGGGAACTGGCACCACCTGCAAAGCTCGAGGGATGGCCCATATACTTTTTCCCGTCTCCCAGGGCCATCTCGAGTCGTATTCTCGCGTCTTTCGGGTGGTCCTGTCAGCGAGAATGCATCGATGTTCACTGGACAGCGCCGGCAGAGAACCACGACGACTCGTTGCATAGTACGGCGACAGCGGCGGTGTCTCCTGTGGCCACCCCCGTTCGACTGCGACCCTACTATGTATACAGTACACAGTAACGTCCTTGGGGGGGTGGGGTGGAGGGTAACTCTTCGACACCGACGCGACGGCCTGATACCGACGTATCCTACCTTGCAGGTGACGTGGCGTGCCATCGAGAGACATGCGCTAAAGAAGGGCGCTATATCTGTACCAAATCGCCGGTTCTCCGGTGTCTTGCTCGGCCCAGGAGTTGGAAATCAGACTTGCCAATAGCCTTTTGCTTTCTCCGTCTCCCTCCGTCTCCCTCCGTCTCCCTCCGTCTCTCTCTCTCTGTCACTCTCTGTTACTCTCTAAAACGCCCCCCCCTCCATGACGCCATGGGTGCAGATCCAGCAGGCCATCCGACTTCTTGGCCTGTCGTCCTAAACTTTCTAGTGTGTTTAGACTATACCACCCAGTTTGGGCAGGCTGGTTTCGCTAGCCTCGTTCGGAGTTGCGGCGCGGCAAGCTGAATTCGACGATGCAGGAGGACGAGGGGGGCAGCCTTGGAAGACATCCGGCAGACAGGGAAGAGGCTTTCACCAAGCCACCAACCCGCTTCCCGATGAACCTCGACAGGGACAAGCCGCAGCTGCTCTCTTCCCGGCGGGCCGAACAGGCCACGACCCCCCTCCCCCTGGTTTGGCACACACACACAACCTCCCTCTACTCCGGCATCTACGTAGTATCTCTCTCGTTAGCCAGCATGACCTCCAAGATGGGATCCTGTTCCAACCGCGCGCGTCTCTTCTCCACCTGCCGTCTCGGTTTTGAGTTTCTGGCGTGACGCGCTAGAAGGTTTTGGTCTGCGTCTAGCATCGGGCAAGGCGCGCAGAGAAGAAGAAAAAAAAAAGGGACAGAGAGAGAGAGAGAGAGTCATGAACTGGCGACGGGCCATGGCCGCCCGCGGGCCCATGTGTGACGCCTCTGCTTCACCTTTTGTTTACCCAATATTGCAGTGAAGGAGAAATTCCAAGCACTGCTCGGTGGCGACGATTGTTGAAACGGGGGCGAAGGACCCGTTGATACCTCGTATCTCAGAAACCGCGATATGACATGTAACCTGCGCCTGCAGTTGGCCCCAAAGTTATGCCCCCCTCATGGCGATTTACGATATGTGTGTGTGTGTGTATCATGGTAGCCTCTTCCCTGCCCTGGTTCGAGAGTTCCATGCAGCGCGGCGGACTCCCAGAAACACTGTTCCCTGGCGAGCTGTGCCTGACCGCCGCAGGCATCGTCCTTTCTCGGGTTTTAATTTATTTTATTTCTTCGTCTATATGTTCTCCTTCTGGCGAGATGGCGATCACCATCTGCGGGTCAAACAAGCATTTTGTTCAGGGTTGGGGGAGAAAAGAATAAACTTTGGGCGGGTTTGATGAAGGGGGAAATGGGTTTTTGCTTCCACAAGCAACATAGTAGACGACGACTCGAGAGAGAGCGAGAGAGAGAGAGAGAGAGAGAGACAGAGAGAGGGAGAGAGACAGAGAGATAGACAACGAGCCAACTGTGCCAGCGCGGCGCTTGAAGGTCTCATCTCGGCGTCTATACCGCGCCCCCCACCCCATCCTCCCGAGATTAGGACCGGTGCTCCGGGAGAGGAGGAGGGCCCATCGTTCATTAAGGAAATGTCTTACCTTGGTCGGCGGCCACGCCGTCCACGGTCCCCGTCGTCTCTAGTAGACAGCCGAAGAGGCCAGCAAGGCGGAAGGCTCTCATATCACGACAGATCACTGGCAAAAATCGAGAGAAGTGGGGAGGAGTGGGATGATTCAAGGGTCACCGACGAGAGACGCATGGCCCAAACCAGAAACAAAAGCAGCAGAAACGCTGGGCGGCCGCGGATGGGGCGGGGAGGGCGTCTCAATTTGCGAGAGATACCGTCCCGTATGGGCATCTAATAGACACATTCGCTTAGGGAACCTTCTTTGTGCGGAGGTTGCGAATCATACGGCGGCATAATAAACTTCCCCCAAACCCCCGGGCCTGGTAGATCAGAAAGGGGGGCAGACGGAGGACGAGACGGAGGACGACAAAGGCGCCCAAGTGCTGTCGAGCCGTTGTCAACGTTTCGGGCACCAACGTTCTTCAGAGAGAAACTTTGGCGTTGCAGGCCGAGTCAGGACGACACATGATGATCTGGACGTGGCCTGATGACCGTCCCTCCCTCCCTCCCTCTCCTGGGTCTGGTCCGGCGAAACGCGCGGATGCCGCACCGGCGACATTCAACGTCGGCTGCGGGTGCTACACCCCTCGGCATCGTCTCTTCGGGGCCAGGCAGGATCTTTGAGGAGACGGGCACGATGACGAGGTGATTACCGCGCGCATCGTCGAGTCAAACAGCAAGAAACCATCCCAGTCCTTCTCCTCCCCTCCCCTCCCCTCCCTGTGATGTTTCCAAAACGTCCAGGTTCTAAATCGCGATGCTACCGTCGCCTCGCCCTCTCCCCTTTTCTCACTTTCCTCCCGGCGTGCCTCCCATTCGTCCAGCGGGCCAGTCTCACCGAATTAGAGTTGACGGCCACAGTCCTGTGTCCCATCTTCCCCCCCCCCTGCTTGCCAACCCGTAGGTCCCGCGCTGATCGCCGAACATCAGTCAACTCTCTCTCTCCCTCCCTCTCTCTCTCTTCCCCTTCTCCCGCACTCTTGTTTCCGACGCTGTCAAACCAGGCTCTGGCACTTATTGGTTCGGACAAAGTGCGTGCGTGCGTGCGTACGATCCCCATTGGCACATTGTCACTTTGTCACTTGGCCTTGGGGGTTAGAGGAGGGGAAGAGTGCCCACACCACCAGCCGTGCCCGTCCTGGGTACGCATGATGCGCGTCTAGAGTAATTGTGTGGCACTATCACAGCGGGTAAACTATGATAGTCGGCCGCTGGATGAAGGGCGGCCCTGGAGGCTCTTGGATCGGCTCCGCGTGAGCGTGAGCGGCTGCAGCGGCCACCCTGACGTTCTCGTGTTAGCCGCAGGAGAAGGCAGCCTTTCTCTCTCTCTCTCTCTCTCTCTCCTGCGACCGCTCATATAGTTTAATTGATTGGTAATTGGAAGAGGCGCATAAGCCGAGGTGCTCGCAGCCGAGGTGCTCGCCCAGGCCGCACGACGCACTCGGCCGCAACCTAACCTACATCGCCCGCCGTGGTGCCGCGTCGAGCGAGCACACGGACGCACGGCAGCACCGACGAAGAAACAACGAGGTCTAAGGAGGGAGGAGAGAAGCCAACTCCGTGACGCGCACGAGACACGGCGAGTCAATTGTACATGGCTGACAGGGCAGGGCGAGTTCCAAACACTCATCGGTCAGGTCTCTCTCTCTCTCTCTCTCTCTCTCTCTCTTACAGCAACCTCGCCCATCCCCCCCGAACTCGGCCGCGAATGACGCGAGGGGACGGAGATTGGCCAAGGGGAGGTGGGGGAGGAAAGGGAAACAAATGATGGGATGTCATGCCCCGCCCCGGGACTTGCGGGAAAGAAACTCCGTTTCCGTTTCATCGCATGAGGCAGAAGAGGCAAAACACAGAAGAAGCCGGCGTAGAGGGAAACGACGGGAAGCATAGAGAGAGGGTGACAAACCAACCAAACCAACCAACCAACCAACCAACCAAGCCAAACCAATCGATAACCCATCTTCAACCGTCTCAAACCAGAGGCAGAGAGAGGTTCGGCTGTGTTGGTCGCATGACTTCCCCTCCCAGCACGGGCTCTCTGTTTTTGACGTACGGTCTGAAGTCCGGACCCTTACGTGAGGATTAGCAATGGCATAATAAGACCAGCTGAAACGGATGGCAAGACATACATGGACTAGACGCCCTCTCTCCCTCTCCCTCTGTCTCTCTCTCGCACGTACGGAGGAGGGCCGCAAACCACGCTAGGCAAGGCAATCAACCTTTTAAGCGTAAATGGTTACCTGTCCCATCCCAAGCCCTTTTTTTTTTTTTTTTTTTTTTCTCTGACATTATCTGCAGCGTCGATCATCTGCCCCCCTTCCCCTTCCCTCGCGTTGTACGTACGATGTACGTGTCCCCGGGACGACTGTTCCTGATTACACACCGGTCTGGAGACGGGACGTTTCTTGTTCCGCTTCCCCCCCATCGTTTGCCTTTCGTTTCGTTTCCTTTGCTTTCCTGTGCTATGCTATGTTATGCTTTGCCCTGCTTTGATTTCCTTTCCGATCCTATCCCCTCGTCTCTCCCCCCGAGTTCCAACCTAAGCAAGTCAAGCTTCTCGGAGAGGGCGAGAAGTCTTCAAAGGGGGAGGGTTGACCAACAGTCCGCACCTGTGTATCAAGTAAGAAAAGTCAAGTCCAGGCCGGCCATCTTCGCTGCAGCCGTAAACCGTATTGTCCTTGCAAACGGCAGGGGGGGTTTCAAGGGACATAAGCATAAAAAAAAAAAAAAAAAAAACGCCCGCCGCACATGCCCGCTGTATCGTGTGTTTGAAGAGTGTAGTAATAATGTAACGGTCTCACATATATACGCGCGCGCGGTGGGGAGGGAGGGCGTTTTGTTTAGATGGAGAACGGCCGAGTACAGCCAAGTTTCCCCCCCCCTCGTCTGTTTTATGACTTGGGTTGGGATGTAGACGTTGCCAAGAAACATAGGTTACAACGAAAAGCCAGAGAGAGAGGACCCTCACGACTCGACGTTCGCCTTGGGACTGTCACAACTTGCAAAGAGATGGGGGAAACACGGATGGTTTGTTATGGAACTTTTTGTTTGATTCTGCGTAGCCTTTCCTCTCGCCCCCCCCCCCCCCCCCTCCTCCTCCTTTCTATTTACATTACCACATAATCATACATTTGATATAATTCTTCGGTCGAGGGGCCAGGGTAAAACAGATGAGCAACTCAAAAATAGAAAAAACAAGTGCCGGTGTCGGGGGATCCGCATGGGATGGAAAAAAACCCAATCTCATCCCGGCGATGCCCTCCCCCCGTCGGAACCAAAAATAACATCAAATAGAAGAAAGAACCGGCCCGCAAAACAACGCACAGTACCACACACACCGGATGTACAACTCGAAACGCCTGTAAATGCCATGTCATTGCCTGGGGGGACTTTTGTCCGCGACCAGCTTTGCCCCAGCCATGATCCGCGCCTCGTTGCGCCATCAAAAAATCGACAGAAAATAGATAAGAGAAGACGAGGAAAAAGAAAAAGATGATAAAAAAAAAAGATGAAAATAAATAGGGTTAAGCGTAACACACGTTGGAGAAAGGTAAAACCCCTTTCCCAACCCTAGTAGAGCCCGTCCGTCCGTCCTCTTTGTCATCCTTTCGACCACCCCCGTCCCCTTCCGAGAGGGATCGGGTCTGTGGAGGATGGTGTTTGTTTGTTTCCAATCCGTGGGGAACCCTTGTTATTGAACGCCGTTGAAAGAAAGCCGTTTGGGTGGAGGGGGTTTGTTTGGTCGTTGCTGATTATACCTGTTTAAACCGGATGTCGTTCTGGTCCGAGAACCAACCTGTCGAGTTGTCGTGGCGGCGGTGGCAGTCATGGTCTACCACATTGGGTATCTTTTTTTTTCTTTCCTGTTGAAACCGGTCCGCGTTGCGTTTACCCTTTCCCATCCCAACCCTCCCCCTCCTTTTCGTGCCCAACTCTCTCTGTGATTGTAGCCGCCATTCCCGATTTGAGAAGCCCGTTTTTTTTTGTCCCCGGTCGTGCTCGTCATGATGCAATGATATCAAGTAAAGAGTATAATATAGAAAAAAAAAACCCCCCCAGTAGGAAGAACCGTCCGTGAGCTAGGCATCTCGGGCTTAGTTGCTGCCGCTCTCGAAGTTGTGGCAGCCGCGCTCGTGACGCTTCATGTTGCTGCGGACGCTAAAGGCCTTGCCACAACCGGCGTGCGGGCACTTGAAGGGCTTCTCGCCCGTGTGCGAGTGGCTGTGGATGCGGAGGGAGGAGGGGCGCGAGAAGGCCTTGTTGCAGGTCTGGCAGATGTACCGGTCCTGGCTCTGGGGGAACGAGGCGGCGGAGGAGGGGGAGATGTAGTGGTGGTGTTGCCACGGGTTGGATCCGGCAGGGCCGAGACCGACGGGGACGGGAGCCATGGGAGGGAACTGCTGGGGGAGGGGGCGCTGGTAGTAGATGCCAGACATCTGGGCCTGGGGAGGAGGCGTGGGCTGCATGGACGGGTAGTAGGACGCGGCCATGGGGTTGTGGGCGGGCAGGAAGGCCTGCTGGAACGGCTGCTGGGCGTACGAGGCCTGGACGGGGACTCTCGAGACCATGGGAGCCATGTGGCGGTGGGCGTCGGCCTCGAGAGGAGGCGTCGACTCGTAGTAGTAGTTGCTCTGGGGCTGGGAGACGACGGAGAGCTGGCTGACGGATCTTGTCGAGGGCGAGTTGTAGCCGTCGAACGAGGCGTCGGAGCTCATGGGCGGCGAAGGGGGGAGGCCGCCGCGGCCGTAGTGAGACGAGTTCGGCCTCGTCTCGGACTTTTGGGAGCATGCCGAATCCAGAGTCTGTCTTCTGCTGCTGGTGTAGCTGTTGCCGTGTTGCTGGTAGTCGGCCCGGTCCGTACCTTGCTGAGGGATTTGAGGGTGAGTCTCTGATGTGGGCGAGCCCTGGTCGGCGAGGCCGAGGAGATTTGAGATGGAGGGGAGAGAGCACTTTGATGTCTCGTCCATGGGTGGCGACGGGGGAGGCTGAGGCGGCTGGACGTATCCGTAGTGTGCGCTCTGCTGGGCAGCGTACGGGTTCGATATTAAAGCGCTCGCCATTGTTGCTGATGATGCGGTCCGAAGAACTTTGGGTTGTGTGTGTGGGTGTGGGTGTGAGAGAGTGAGAGGGAGAGAGAGAGATAGAGAGATAGAGAGGGAGAGAGATGCTTGTTTGCTACTGGGTTTGGATGCTGCTCCTTCAGGTAGAGGTGTGTCTCTTTGCCTTGATCTTTGTTATTCGTCAATGGTGCGAAGATGAGGAAGAGATGATGATGACGGTGATGATGATGGTGGTGGTGGTATGGTGGGTGGGCGTTGGATATTAGGAACGCAACAAATATTAGATGTAGAGTGGTGATTAGCCCCAAGTGCCAGCTGGATACTAGAGATTGGATTTGCTTCGGGAGTTTTCAGGATTCCAAAGGATATCTCGACGAGGGAGGAGGGGATGGCGGGTAGTTTAAGTATGAATCGGCCTGGCGAAAGAAGCTTGTTGGTGGGTGGATGGAGTATAGGTGGCAGATGGGGGAGGCAGGTATATCAGATCTCCCGAAGTAGAGTGGAATGGGTGATCAAGCGTAAATCCACACGATGATCCCTGAACGATGGGATGCCACAAAATCGCCTGTCACAAATTGTGTGTGGGTCGAGAGGAAGAGAGTGGCATACTACTAGGTCGTTACGCCAGGCCTGGGGACCAGACGAAAAAGACGGCCATGGGGGTGTGGTGCTGGGATGGCACTCAAGCAAGGGTCAGTCCAAGGTTGTCGGAAGGCTTATACACTACGTACTGCAAGGTTCGACGTCGACAAGGGGGGGGGGGGAGGGGAGCAGGAGGAGAGGAGGAGGAGAGGAGGAGGAGGAGGAGGAGGAGGAGGAAGAAGAAGAAGCCGGGGCTGTCCTCGGTACTCACAGGTAGATGAGACCGGGTGGGAGGCTGTGAAAGGCACAGCCGGATGTGTAGCAGGGACACCCACAAACACACACAAAGAGAGAGAGAGAGAGAGAGAGGAAAGGAACAATACAGAGTACGAGCATGGTATGGTACCGTTACCTGCCTCTCGGACAGAGCCTGCCTATAGCACCTCCTGGATAATGGGACGACAGGGCCAGGGGAGGGCACAGGGCCCGTTCTCTGACTTGGGGTGCATCGGGGGGATCCTGAACAATGCTTGTTGTGTGCCTGGACAGCAAATCACAACAACAACGATCTTGAGTCTTGAGTGGGAAGAAGGGGAACAGAGAAGACTTGAAGGGGAGGGGGGGGGGGGGGGGGGGGCTGGTTGGCAGCAGCAGTACGGAGTACATGGTTTACGTAGCCGGGATTGCGGGTGAGATCGAGAGCAACGAGCAACTGATCCCCCCCCGGTCGAGGATGGATCAACGTCTATGGGATCGCTCGAGGTCAAACGGTCACTGGTTTATGCAGCGGGCAGGGCTTCTGCTTGCCAGAGCTATCCGTTCAACGCCACTCCTCTCCCACACGAGAACGTACTGAGAGAGAGTCCCCTACATGTCCATGGACGCACGCCTCCCCTCCTCTTCCTCTCTCTCTCTCTCTCTCTCTCTCTTTCACTCTTTCACTTACACACCCTCCTCCGTCTTGCCGACACGCCCCTGCTCACCCCCAGCTTCCCCCCCCTCCCAAGGCCTTGGTGCGTGGGTTGCTGACATGCCCAGAGCTAATCCGGATCTAGTGCTGTCATGCATGGCACCACTCGGGCCACCATTTCCTGTTCTGGCTTCTGGTCCCGTTCCGAAGACGAGGGCAGGCAGTCTGAGGGGCCTGTCCCTTGTCCTGTCATGAAGGCTTGTGTGTTTGGGACGGAGGCCCAAGGGGTCGGTCTAGGGACGAGGCGAACCCACCCTCAAAGCACGAATCTACTACCTACCGGTACTGTTATTGCTGTGCAGCTGCTCGTGGGCTTTGGGGGGGGGGTGGCCAGTCGCTCGCGCAGGGCACCACATACATACACCCACCCACACACACACACACACACACACACATATACACACACTCACATACACTTGAGACGAGTAACGACTCTGTGCCTGACTGACGTCGGGGGGGAGGCGTGTGGCGTGTGAGGCCCCAAGAGCTTCATCGATACCCTGCCAGCCCTGTGCTGCGACCGGATTGTTGAGCTGATCTTATGCCGTTCATCGCTTCTGCCTCGTGTGTGCGTGCAGGTGCCAGAAACGTCATCCCAAGGCTGCCCACGAAGAAGGGCCGCCGCCGCCGCCGCCGCCGGGGTGAGGAAAACGGACGGTGCTTCGACGTGCCGTGCTGGGCCCCATGTTCGGATGACTGGTGTCTTGGTTCCAGAGAGTCCCTGATCTGGCCATGATGTGCACAATTGTCAGATCCGAGCTGGAACTCGCCCCTCCCAGCCCGCCGCCGATGCGAGATGATCCCAATTTTGGGTTCGCGTCTTGCTTGCTGCCCACATTTTGGGTTCGTTTCTCTGCCGTATGCGGCCGTTCGTCCAGGGGCCGCATGGCAGAGGGGGTCCACGCCAGACGGCACTGAGAACGGATGAAGCCCATCCCATAACACGGACGGGAAGGGCATTAAACTGCCACGTTATCCCGGATTTTCTGCAGGGTCTCGCGGGCAAGCGTGAGGGACGGGTGCTGTTTCGATTGACGCTCATGATCCGGCTCTTCAGACAAGCTTAACCGGAACAAGGCAGACAGCGAGCGAGAGAGAGAGGGTGGTCTGTAACGAAGGCGGTCCTGTTTTAGAGCCGCTCATGCACACAAGCAGTCGTCGTCGGATGGAGAGAGCCGGCGTGCTCGATGTTGCAAGAGCCTCTTCTTTTGCAACGGCCACGACCTCAACTGCCGTATGTTGGCCGCGGCGTCCTGGCGGATACCGCTACGCTTGGCCAAAGCCGGCACTTGCTCGGTCCAACGTTGACGCGGCGATCTCGAGAAAACGTGCCATGACTGCCGTGTGGACGGTCGAGGGTCGACGGTTGACTAGGGCATTTCAGGTA